TGACTCGTGTGGTGCTCCCCTCTGTATGATGTACTTTGCAATTTCCATAAGAGCTTCATTGTGCGCTGTGCTCCTCTTTACAATAGTGTTTTGTTCCATTCGCAAAAGTGATAAGAAGAGTGATTTATTGCACACATTCATCCCACAAGAGCACAACAAAAAGTACCACCAGCTTTATCACAACCACGAGAGAAGTCTGACACCAAATGACACATACAGACGATGATCTGTTATCTGAAATAGCTTCGCAAGCAATAAAAACCTTTGGCATTTCCTTTACATCAGTCAATGCATGTAATCTATTTCTAGAACCTTCCTGAGTTTCTGCTGAGCTGAGCTGAACTTTGTCGGTTTGTTTCGGCCGCAGATCTTTTTGATGTATTTTGATGTTGTTCCTCAAAATATATCAAATAGATCTGCTTTTTTTTCAAGAATTCTACATTTTGTTTCAACAGAATGAGTCTTTTTGTGATCAAATCAGACCACAAATCTGCCTTCATCTTTGTTAGAAAACATTGTATCTTTTTTATAAGCTCTGTGAGTGATACTTTGGTCTAAGGCTGAGTGAGGGCGGCTCTCTCTTTTTCACTTATCTGTTTGAAAAAGCTGTTCTTCAGAGGTGACTGGGTTAATGAAAATAAAAAACAAAACAAAAATGTACAAATGAACATAACACCAGCCTGCCCAGGGACTACAGGTGGAAATTAGCATCTCTGCTATAACCTGGTACATGCATCTCTCCTTTTGTGTTAATGCTTAACTGTACACTGTCCCTGTTCAAATAAAGTACATACAATACAATACAATACAATGATAAAACCAAACTGTTTTGAGACCAAGGATTTAGTTTAACCCTTTAATGGTTTTCTCAATTATTTGGTAGATCACCTTTTGAGTCAATACAGTATATCTACTTTAAGCTTGGAACTGAAATCTTTGGGGCTTGGCTTTAGGCACTTTTACCATCAAACGTGTACCATGTTTTTATCTTTCAGGAGAATACAGAGGAAAAATAGCTGCTTGGCTAATTCTGGCATATTTACAGAAATGTTCATTAAGATGCACTGTCCCTGTAAGGAAAAATAAATAAATAAACTGCATCTCAACCATTTGGTAAAAGCCTGTAATAGAAAAATAAATAAATAAACGAATTATTATTGTTTTTAGTGTCCTACATTGCTTTCTACAAGGAGTGAATGTTAAAGGGTTAAGTTTATAGTTAAATTGATTGTGGTTTGAAAGTACCCATACCCGACATGTAATTTTATATGAAAAAACATGCACATTCTTGCTTGACCACACACAGTATACCATAGCTATGCCCTTGAGCAAGAGACTTCTTCGACCTTGCCTATGTGTGAATGGGCTGGAACAGGCAGATGTTATTATCTCATTGGCATTAGTTAAGACTTACGTAGAGTCCTTCATCAATAAGTGAATGATCAGATACATAATCATAGTCGTGTTTGTGCTAGCTGGCACAGATAGTGTTACCATCAGGACGACCAAGAGCTTGTATGATAAATTCAAGGATGCCTTAATTGTTTTACTCTGTAGGCCAAAACTAATATGTAGAGGCGGTACAGTGCAACACTGGGTCTTGTAAATAATGCAGAGGAGTTCACAGTTCAGGAGGGAGACGACTGAATACATAAAGGTACAGTAATTATCTTCGCTCCAATGAAAAGTGGGCAAATAGACCTGAGGCGCTCTGACTGGTGCCTCAGGTCTATTTTTTGTCCACTTTACATGTGAAATGTATTTTTATGTCTTAAGGACCAGGTCTACAAATTAGCTGTTAACTATGGCCTATGAACATGGCATCGGTTATTTGTAACGATGCTTCTTGTTCATATAAAAAATAAATATAACTAAATAAATATACATAACAGCAAGAGTAACTACTTATATGCAAAATGAATATATATTTGTGGGCATAATAAATATATATGTGGGTATATATCTGTGGGTAAAATGTGGTCTAATGCTTTGTTTTACCAATGTATGTACCAATAATTAGAAATAAATCATCCATTCTATTGTATTTTTGATGATGAATGACTGGAATGGACTCTTTCATCTTTAATCCTGATTTGTATTTGTATGGCAAAATGCATTGATATTTCCTCCCAAATCTCACCACTCCATCACTGGACAAATTAGCCCCTTGATCTCAATGGCCTATTTTGGCACCCCTGGAATAATTCAAGAATATTTCCCTGTTTAATGGTGGTGCCAAATGTTTGCGGTGACAACAGTTGAGGCAGAGGTCCAGGACACGCAGGAGGCAATTAGCACTTATCGGATTCTAATCGCTCTGTGTCTGCATCTCTCCACACATTAGAACAGACTCTCTATGATTCATCAGCTCAGAGTGTGACAGGCCAGAACGCACAATGCAGTTAGAATGCAAATATTTTCTGCAACACAAAACATCAATGTGCAAAAGCCAACACCTTGGATAGTGGGTCAATGAGGTCAGTCCCAACGCAGGATTAGTGAGAGGCAATCCTGCAGGGGAATAACATACGTGGCATCCTGCGAAAAGCTCTGGAAAAAGTCATTAGCTTTGGGGAGTAATCCACAACATGAGTGGAAGGGAAGTGACAAAAGGAGATTTATTGGAGCTTGAGATGAACACAGAGTCGGGTGACATAGGCGTATGGTTTACGTCTAAACATGGAGCAGCTGAGCCTCCAGAAGAGGCACTGGACGACGACAGGATCATGGGTCGAGGCCTCTACATATTAAAACACAGTCACCTGCACATCATATGAAACAAAAGCAATGAAACGGTTGAATGAATAATTTAAGTAAATTCTGCAGGATAAAAAGCAGTGAAAAAACACAGTTGGCTATAATTTGTATAGGGAAAACATACACTATTCGGATCAAAATGTTTGTCTGCAGATATTCAAAGCCAAAGTAATGGACTGGAAGCATCTGAATTGCATCCCTAATTAAACAGCCATTTCATCTGAAACTTTTAGTGTAGCTTGCGTGCCAGAATTGTTTTAGGGGGAGTGAGTATATGTAAATACATGCTGTATTAACTGTCTCTCCTCTCTCCTACATTATCGGACATCATTATGACTTCAGCGGTGACCTGTTCGTTGCTATTCACCTGCAGCCATGAGTTGCATCCCTCTCCCCGCCCGGGAGCCTCTCCAGTCCTGCACAGCCTCAGTGCTGGCTCTACACCCAGAATCCTGGAAGTCCATGGGAGCCGATGCCTCTCTCAAAGTGGGCCTCCCCGAGGTTTCTCTTTTGCTTTTTTTTTGTTCCATGCCAATGCAAGGAGGTCTACAGACTGACGATCTGGGACTTGTACGGACATTGGTCATTCCACTTCCTGCACCAATGGCTCTCCTATGTGGTTGTTATTATTGTATTTCATGTGTTTGAACGGTTTCACCGATGTGTTGTAGGCGAATCAACAACGTTGTAAAATCCTCCAAGACAACTGCAGTTGTGATGAATGAAATAAAAGTAACTATCTTTGAAATTATATGAAATAAAATAACAAAGGTTTCAGCTACAGAACACAAGTTATGCTGTGACTTGAGCTACAATGCGTTGCTTCCCCCTCCTCCATGTGCTCTGTAAATAATGTACTGTATGTAAATGATGATGGGTTAAAGTTGTTTTGAAATCAGGCTGATGGATAGCTGTGAATACTTGCAAGGCCTTCCGTTAACACATTTCCTTGTCATCTGTGAAAGCCATTATCGCCTCAATGTACCCCGGAGTGCGGAGAAAGTTACTCTAAGTCAAGGGCCACACATCCAAACACCAGTCTGATAAAAGCACTGATTAAACTTTGTATAACACATGGCCCCAGCTCTCCCAGTGCATCTCACACCCTCCGCACTTGCGTCAAAATAGATGGAGGTTCTTGTACAAAAACACAGAAAGCACCAAACACCTGTAGCTATTTTTCTTGTCTCCAAATAAGGAACAGTGTGGAGGTCAGTGACACGTGGCTGTGTCTAAGACAAACGAGGACCCCTATATGCAGCAGCCGCAGCTGGGAACACAAGGCCAAGAGGCTTCGCACCACACACAGGGTCCACTCAGCAAGACACAGAAGAAAACACTAGTCACCGCTGCTATTGCTGCGAGATGGCTACTAATGTGGATTCATACGCATGTGCAATATTGTAACGGATTGTGGAACAACTGGACAGGGCAGCACTTTGAGTATGAAACAATTTGATGAATAAACACAAACGGTATCTCCAGAATGTGAATAATGAAAGCTGTACGGCTACATACAAAGGAGAGTTTAATTGAGTATAGTATAATTATCTGTAAATGAATTATATGAATGTTATTATCAGCAACAATAGCATTTTTTCTTTCATGTTGCACTTTCTAGATCTGATACATTTGAGCAGAAGTAACATGAACTTAGGAAACAAATTATGTTTGATGTATAAAAAGACATTTATTGGAAATCAAACACTAAGGTGACACAAGCATAGTCAAACAAATATAACTGGTCTTACATTTAAATGTGCAAAAACAAAATAAACAAAATAAAAAACTAAAAATCTTTTCAAACAGACACAATCATGGACGCAACTTTTGTCATTTAGAAAAGGCACTGGATAAAGGACAAAAAATAATAACATGAAAATCCAGTGTTTTCAGATGAAGTACAAAATCTATCTAATCTCTTTGAGGCCAAAGCCTTAAGTAACTAGGGGTGACACATTTTTAATTATTAACACTTGATTTGACCTGTCGTTGGCCTGAGCGCACTGCCTAATGAGAGCAGGATCCTAAAGCCTCCAGAGGACCAGGAAGAAGGAAACTACGGAGGATTCATCTTTTTAGATCTAACTGTAATGAAAGAAATCAAAAGGGCCGCCATGTGTTTGAAAATTATATCCAACTGAAGATGTTATAATATTTAGATGTAATAATGTGTATCGCATAGCATTCTTGAAAAGTAGTTTGTCAGTGAAGATATGTGTTCTTCGGCATATCATGTATCGTCAGCACCCGGAGATGTTTTTGGTCTTGTTGCGTCTTTGGAAGCGAGTGTCCGTGGGGTCGAATCCCTGCTCCTCGGCCCCGAACAGAGCCCAGGCTGGGGTCTGGGCCATGTAGTCTAGAGACGAGAAGCTCTTCTGTCCCCCACTGTCCTCAAAGGCCTGGACCAGCTCCTGGAAACGCTCATAGTCGATCCACGTCCACCACTCTCCATCCACCTTAAACTGCGCGCACACACACACACACACACTACAAGTTTGATCAAAGGTTTAATTACACTTTACTGTCAGTCGGAAGAAGATGGGACAGGGGCGTGTTCAGACTTATTGATTTGGAGGTAATGAAACGGCCTTCATGGCGTCACTGATTTGGTTCAAATGAAGTGAGCTGATTGGTGGAATATGGAGCACTTGTTTAGAGCTTTCACATCTACACAAAGAAAACATGCCCAAAGTGCACCCGAAAACTCATCCACTATTGTGAGACTCAGTGTCCTAAAAAAGCATTCACAAATAGGGTCTATAAATAATATATAATTTGGGATAATTTATAGTGAGATTCCTTCAATGTTGGTGAAGCAATGGAGTCTCCCATCCAAATACAAACCAGGCCATGTTTGTATGGCCTTAGCATGTGGTGAATGTCCATAAGTCCCTCAGTGTGCATCAGACAACGACATGATAAACAAGCTAAAATAAAAGTCAAAGTTTTTTAAATTGATTTGTTCAAATTGATAACAGCTTGTGGAAATAAGTTCTTAGCATATCGAGATGTCCTACGCATAATATCGTCTACCAAAGGAAATAAGCTGGAACATGGATTTTCCAGGGTGGCAAGAGAAGTCATTGATTATTTTAAGAGCTTGATTTAAGTATGGATTCATAAAGAACCTTCACAACCGGCAGCTCACAATCCTCACTTGACAAGCAAGTTATTCTGACTTTGGAAATACATTTGAACAATTACTACAGACCAGAATTGAAGACTGGACAGAGGGTTAAAACTGGGTTGTATGAAGCTTTGTAATAAAATGATCGATCAGTTACTACTGGGGGAGGGGGCAACTTCACACAAGGTATTTTCTGAAAATAAATGAGGCAGAAACATCTCACATTATCCCTGACTCTTCTGACAGTGTGCAATGAGTTTGAGCACTGCTGATAACCCCCTCGGGCCGGGAGATACAAAGTTCCACTCACACAGAACTAGGAACATAATTCACGGATTGTGGACTTCGCTTGCTCAATATACTAGGCTTAGAAGGTTCTTTTAATAAGAATAAAAGAAAATAAAGAAAGTTAGCACTGCTTAATTACCTGACATGTTTTGGCAGTAGCATTCTGCTTTCGTCAGTGGTGACACGTGTGTGACGTGTCTCACCATTATTACCAGCTGTTGTTACCAGATGCTGTCACTCTGACATATCCGACAGACTGACCGCCTCCCCTGCCGCTTTATGGTCTCTAGTGAAGTGAATCCCAAGTGTGAGCCAAGGTGAAAGCCCCCTCGTCTCTGTTGATGGTCTGTGCACCCCGCTTCCTGATTTCAATCGCCTCTCATATCCAGATGGATACGCATCCGGCAAAAAGAGCTGATAAGAGACGTGTCACACCATCACGTGTCACCTCTCACGAAGGCGGAAATCTACTTATTAAAGTAGAACCTCCAAAGCCTTATACATACAGCCTTTACATTTAATTTGCTCTTGTACCGTTGTGGCAGAAGACATGATACACATACAAAATACATTCAATATACTGTATGCGGCATGTCTTACTGAGAAAATGAAAATCGATTCGTAAAACTGTCTACATTACACTGTTCTCACAACACTGCACAATTACTGAATGTTAACTTAGCTTAAGAGGCAAAAAAAGCATTTAAGCTTGAATATCTGTTTGCTTCCTTCCAGAGATGATGGCCCATTCTGAGAGTTACTGCATTAAGTGATTTGAGGCTTAAGATAACCGGCCATTAAAGCGAGGCTACCCACCGCATAACTAATGAGCCTCGAAGTACCAAGAAGCATCTACTGGGGCTTAATGTTTCTGGTAATGAGCAGGGAAGAGATTTGTTCAGCCCGAATCTTGGCAAACATTTTAGTCATTATGCAACAAAAGGGAAGGAGCAAGCTCTGAAGAGGACTTGTGTTTACTAACAGTCTGTTTACTGAGAGGCCTGAGGAGCTCCGCAGGGAAGCAGGGAGTAGTGTTTGGGCACATTCAAGCGGAAGTGTTATGAAACTATATAGGGCTAACTGTCCTTAGAGAAGAGACAGCAACTATTTGTACAGTACCTTGCGAAAGTATTTGGCCCCCTTGAACCTTTCAACATTTTGCCACATTTCAGGCTTCAAACATAAAGATATAAAATGTAATTTTTTGTCATGAATCAACAACAAGTGGGACACAATCGTGAAGTGGAACAAAATTTATTGGATAATTTAAACTTTTTTAACAAATAAAAAACTGAAAAGTGGGGCGTGCATTATTATTCGGCCCCTTTACTTTCAGTGCAGCAAACTCACTCCAGAAGTTCAGTGAGGATCTTTGAATGATCCAATGTTGTCCTAAATGACTGATGATGATAAATAGAATGCACCTGTGTGTAATCAGAATCAGAATCAGAATCATTTTTATTGCCACGTAAGTAACAGGAGGTCACAGACTAGGAAATTGCTTTGGCTCAGTGCAACAGTCAAAAAGAGATAATAAAAATAAGAATAAAAAACACTTCTAAAGAATACATTTAAATTTAAAATAGAGTTACAGTTACTATTTACAATATACAAGTGCACATGGTGCACACAATGTAAGGTGACAGCAGTACAGTGAAGTAAAGTGACGTATGATGGGCAGTAAAGTGACTTTATAAAGGGCGGGGGGACAGGTTAAGAAGTGTTCAAGAGTCCAACGGCAGGGGGGAAGAAACTGTTCTTGTGGCGGGAGGTTCTAGTCCTGATGGACCGCAGTCTCCTGCCTGAGGGGAGTGGTTGGAATAGTCCATGTGCAGGGTGAGAGAGGTCGGCTGTGATACGACCAGCCCGGCCTCGAGCTCGGGCGACGTACAGGTCCTGCAGCGATGGAAGGCTGCGGCCGATCACTTCCTCTGCAGAGCGCACAATGCGCTGTAGTCTCTGTTTGTCCCTGACTGTGGCTCCAGCGAACCACACGGTGACGGAGGAGGTGAGGATGGACTCGATGATGGCCGTGTAGAACTGCACCAACATCTGTGCAGGCAGCTTGGCTTTCCTGAGCTGCCGCAGGAAGTACATCCTCTGCTGGGCCTTCTTGATGAGGGAGCTGATGGTCGGCTCCCACTTGAGGTCCTGGGTGATGGTGGTGCCCAGGAAACGGAAGGACTCCACAGAGGTGAGGGGGGAGCCCAGCACGGCGGGTGGGGGCGGGGGGACAGTGCTCTTCCTGAAGTCCACAATCACCTCCACTGTCTTCTGGGCGTTCAGCTCCAGGTTGTTACCACTGCACCAGGACACCAGCCGGTCCACCTCCCTCCTGTAGGCGGACTCATCGTTGTTGGAGATGAGTCCAATGAGGGTGGTGTCGTCTGCGAACTTGATCAGCTTCACGGAGTCGTGGCTGGAGGTGCAGTGGTTGGTGTACAGGGAGAAGAGCAGGGGAGAAAGAACACAGCCCTGTGGGGCTCCTGTATTTATAATCCGAGAGTCCGAGACATTCTTCCCCAGACGCACTCGCTGCTTCCTGTCCGTCAGGAAGTCAGTGATCCACCTGCAGGTGGAATCGGGCACGTTGAGCTGGGAGAGCTTGTCCTGGAGCAGGGATGGCAGGATTGTGTTGAAGGCAGAGCTGAAGTCCACGAACAGGACCCTGGCGTAGGTCCCCGGGGAGTCCAGGTGCTGTAGGATGTGGTGGAGGGCCAGGTTAATGGCGTCGTCTACAGATCTGTTGGCTCTGTAGGCGAACTGCAGGGGGTCCAGGAGGGGGGAGGTGAGGGACTTGAGATGGGAGAGAACTAGGCGTTCAAATGACTTCATGACGACAGACGTAAGTGCTACAGGTCTGTAGTCATTGAGTCCTGTGATCCTGGACTTCTTCGGGACGGGGACAATGATGGAGGATTTGAAGCAGGCCGGGACATGGCAGGACTGCAGAGAGGTGTTGAAAATGTCCGTGAACACAGGAGTAAGCTCACTGGCGCAGTGTCTCAGAGTGGCCGGAGACACGTGGTCCGGGCCAGGAGCTTTGCGGGGGTGCAGCCTCAAGAAGAGTTGTTTAATCTCTTTAGCGGCTATTGTTAGGCTGGGGGCAGGGCTGATGGGTGGGTCGTTAGCGTAGTGGGGGGTGGGGGGGAGGAGAGGTGTCAGGGGCAGCATCAAAGCGACTGAAAAATAAGTTCAGTTTGTCAGCTAGCTTGTGGTCGTCAGCACAGGGGGGGGGGCTTTGGGTTTGTAGTTGGTGATCTCCCGTAGGCCCCTCCAGACAGAAGCAGTATCGTTGTTACCAAACTGCTCCTGTAGTCGTTCTCTGTGCCGGGACTTGGCTGCTTTCAGTTCTCTCCTGAACTGATATTTAGCTGCTTTGTAGCCGCTGCGATCCCCCTCCCTGAAAGACTCCTTTGCTTTCCTGAGCTGCCGGAGTTTAGCAGTGAACCAGGGTTTGTCGTTGTTATAGATGACCCTGGTCCTTGTTGGAATGATGCTATCCTCACAGAAGTGAATGTATGACGTCACAGTGTCCGTATATTCATCCAAACTATCTGTGGCAGCTCTGAAAAGGTCCCAGTCTGTAGATTCCATGCATGCGCGCAGCTCTTCCACAGCTTCATCAGACCACACTTTGGAGCTCCTCATTGCAGGTTTCGAGAGCTTTAGTCTCTGTCTGTAAGCAGGAACCAGATGTATCATGGAGTGATCTGAGAAGCCGAGGGCTGGCTTGGGAACAGCGCGAAAAGCTCCGCGCACGGTGGTGTAACAGTGATCCAGAGTGTTCTCCTCTCTGGTCGGGCATTTGATAAACTGTCTGTATTTGGGTAATTCCTGGCTCAAGTTTCCCTTATTAAAATCCCCCAGGATAATAATCAGAGAGTCCGGGTATAAGAAGAAGACTGATCAGAGATGCAGCCAAGAGGCCCATGATCACTCTGGATGAACTGCAGATAACTACAGCTGAGGTGGGAGAGTCTGTCCATAGGACAACAATCATTCGTGCACTGCACAAATCTGGCCTTTATGGAAGAGTGGCAAGAAGAAAGCCATTTCTCAAAGATATCCATAAAAAGTCTCGTTTAAAGTTTGCCACAAGCCACCTGGGAGACACACCAAACATGTGGAAGAAGGTGCTCTGGTCAGATGAAACCAAAATCGAACTTTTTGGCCACAATGCAAAACGATATGTTTGGCGTAAAAGCAACACAGCTCATCACCCTGAACACACCATCCCCACTGTCAAACATGGTGGTGGCAGCATCATGGTTTGGGCCTGCTTTTCTTCAGCAGGGACAAGGAAGATGGCTAAAATTGATGGGAAGATGGATGGAGCCAAATACAGGACCATTCTGGAAGAAAACCTGTTGGAGTCTGCAAAAGACCTGAGACTGGGACGGAGATTTATCTTCCAACAGGACAATGATCCAAAACATAAAGCCAAATCTACAATGGAATGGTTCACAAATAGACGTATCCAGGTGTTAGAATGGCCAAGTCAAAGTCCAGACCTGAATCCAATCGAGAATCTGTGGAAAGAGCTGAAGACTGCTGTTCACAAACGCTCTCCATCCAACCTCACTGAGCTCGAGCTGTTTTGCAAGGAAGAATGGGAAAGAATTCCAGTCTCTCGATGTGCAAAACTGATAGAGACATACCCCAAGCGACTTGCAGCTGTAATTGCAGCAAAAGGTGGCGCTACAAAGTATTAGCGCAAGGGGGCCGAATAATATTGCACGCCCCACTTTTCAGTTTTTTATTTGTTAAAAAAGTTTAAATTATCCAATAAATTTCGTTCCACTTCACGATTGTGTCCCACTTGTTGTTGATTCTTAACAAAAAAATTAATTTTTATATCTTTATGTTTGAAGCCTGAAATGTGGTGAAATGTTGAAAGGTTCAAGGGGGCCGAATACTTTCGCAAGGCACTGTATAACGTTGTAGAAACTCCTCATGTTGACAGTAAAACAAGACTATTTCAAAGGATAGTAATCTGACTACCGGTGTAATCAAAGTTCCTTGCTGTTCCAGAAGCAAAATTCACATTTTTTTCCCCATTGAGATTTAGTTTTTTTCTCCTCTGTCATTTGAAAGCTGGGGCTGATCAGCTGTATGCATCAAGACCACAAGATCTACAACCTCTTTTAAAATCAGTGCCTGAATCTTGAGACACCAAAACACATGTGTGTGTTTGATAAAATACTGATAATAATAAAGGAAAGAGTTTTCAAAAACATTAAAAATCCATACTGAAAGCAAACAGTAATTTACAGTACGGTAATTTCTACCTACTCCCAAATGTCATCTCATTTATACATGAAAGCAAATCCCAAAACTGCATTATTTTCTAAATAATAAAATCACAAAGAAAGCCGTTGCTACCAAATATGTGTAATAGGGCCGAGACTTTAACGCGTTAATTAAGATTAATCAACGCCCCAAAATTAGTGCGTTAAAAAAAATGGACGCATTTAAAACCGCATGTGTATTTTCCACCGCGGAACGTTCCTCACGAATGAGTTTTAGACGGACCGATTATACTGGAGCGCCACCTGAGCTCCGTGACTTTTCTTGTTCAAAAGTACATTATAACAAGCATAGACCAACTCTAACTCTGAGTGAGTTAGAGGCAGGAAAGAACCCTCTGTGTGGAGCAAAGGTGTGTGAGCAGGAGGAGAAGGAGCAGCAACTCCTGTGAGCGGAGGAGGAGCAGCGAGACACAGGTGTGTGAGCTGCTGTTTGCTGATGTTTTAGTTCAGGGGTGCTCAATACGTCGATCGCAAAGGTAGTATTGGAAGATCGCATTGCATTAAAAAAAAAAAAAAATCTGTTTATGCATTTGCGTGTGGACAGAGATAACCAGAGTTTTGCGTTTTTGCACGCCACAGTATGCCCCCAAAACAACAACAACAAACAAAATGTGCGACCTCTGATCACTGAAGCATGGATCATACTGCCTTAAAAACTGTTCTCTGCTGCACCGGTTCACAGCAGCGATCCTCGCTCCACATCAGAGAGCAGCTACGAATGTAACTACGGTTCTATTAATCCTGGATAATGCCAGAGGTGGTGCTTAAATGCAAATTATTTCATATATCATGCGGTTTTGCATGTACATAAACATACAATGTAGATATAAAGAATCCTCAATATATTTAGAAATAAATATATGTTTTGCATTTTTGTAGTAGGTAGATCATTTTGACTTGATCATTTTATAAGTAGCTCACATGCTGAAAAAGTATGAGCACCCCATTTAGTTCGAATGCACACATCAAAAACGTATTATAAACTTTTGTACTCACTTCGAGTGCAGTGGATTTTGGGCTTAAGAAGTGTATGTTGTGGTCAGTGTGTGTGGAGGCGATGACAGAAACGTTATTTTGTCTGATCCTCCACAATGAACATGTGTTGCTTAAGCTTATGTATTCAATGGTAAACTAAAAATCCATGTAAAAAAAAATTACTTCTCACTGTTCTCAGGACAAATATTTATATGCGATTAAAATGTGATTAATCGAGATTAATTAATTACAAAGCCTATATTAGATTAATTTTTTTAATCGAGTCCCAGCCCTAATGTGTAAGGTTATTCTCTTCGGAATTAGCCTTGAGGCTATGTAATAGGCTGTATGTGAGGAATGGCCCTGAATGAAAAGCCACATTTATGAAAGCATACTGCGGAAGTGAAGACCTGAGAGACCAGTGGAAGAGCAGAGGAGGAGCAGAGATGAGAGGGCACTGAGAGCGCTGCTGGAATCAATTCAGTCAAATATTAATGGTGCCCTTGGCTGGCTGGGCTTATGGCGAGTGATTTTCAGTCCTTATTAACCCCAAACAAGTTTAAGTCCGGACATTATGTGATAAAGACTTAAATGATTGATATTGCCACAATTTGGGAATAAGGAATATGGCCAAACTTGTCAAACAGAAGATCTGTGATGTGCTTAAGAGAAGTTCAACGTGAAGTTGCAAGTTCATGATTTTTGCTAAAGATTTTTGGTTGTAGCGCAGCAGCCGAAGACAAAACATATGGTGTTGTGACACAAACCTGACGATAATCCTCAAAGGGATTTCAGGATGTGCTGCAGTTAGGAATAGAATACTTATCTTCACTCTCTTATTCGCTTTCCATATCTTTTTTACTTTTGTACAAGAAAAGCCATGGACTCGTATAAACAAATATATGCAGTTATTTTATTTAGCTCCCACTTCACCTTGTTCCTGACCTCAGCTCATCTCTTGTCTCGTTGTGTCCTTCACTTTATCTAAACATGTGTAACGTACAGTAAATGTAAATAAAAATGCCTATCTGAGCAAAACCAACACACATCTGCATAGGTTTCCTCCGGGTGCTCCGGTTTCCCCTACCACTAAAAATATGTACAATAGGTCTGGCATGCGCCTCCTGTTCGGCGACCCCGCTCCCATCTCTGTGTGGAGTGAGAGGACAAGTGCCCAAAAATAATAACAATTGTAAACCGCTTGGTGACTCTGGTCTGTGAAAGGCGGTATAGAAATAAAGATTTTAAAGATTACTTACATCACTGTTTAAAAAAGACAGTAGACAATATTTTAATTTTAAATTATATATACACATTGTACATGTGTGTCCCCAGATAATAGGTCAACATGTACCATCAAACCTATTTATAGACTCAAGTTTAAACAAGTTAATAGAGTTTGATGTCCATAATATTTATGTTTATGATTGTTAACAGATTATCCAATCAAAAGGGCAGAATAAGGAAATGCAAATGAAAAGGACCAAAAACTAACAGATTATATAGTCATGGGCAAAGGTTTGATTAGAATACTAAGCTGTTCATGTTTGCTTGCATACATTACCATATGAATGTATTGTCACAAGCCACAGTCAAAACACACATTTATCGTATTTGGAACACGTGCTGCATGATTTGAAAGAATTTCTCATTGCAATTTTTCAGACAAATATTGTTCAATTAGCAATCCTGCTATGAAGCAAGGACAATGTTCAAAGTGCACAAGGATAATTCCATTTTGAGGGAAAACTGAAACGTGATAACAGCAATAAAAAGGTATTTAGGGAGATTTTACCAGAAGTCACGCCATATCTTTTTTTGAGGACTTTTGTAAGTTTCTTTAATGTATTGGCGCAGGATTTATAGTGAAAAAAACTCTTAACTAAGATCAGAATTCTGACTTTTGACACTTACCACAATTACCAGTGTGGTAATTGGCTCATTGGAAAGTTGTGATGTCACTGGAAAGTGTGAGCGTACCTTTGTGTGTGCGATGAGCAGGCAGTTGGAGTGCTCGTGCTCACAGGCGATCTCGTACTGCGGGAGCATGTCGGCCAGCTGCTGCACAAACAACACCACCTCCTGATGCCACGGGACGTTGGCCATGGTCAGGCTGCTGGCTGTGCTCTCCCCACAGTACGTCACCCCCTGCACAAAACACACACACACACACAACAAACTATTAGGGCCTTCACCACTTCGGAAAACATGTGCGTACTTGTGCTACTTCTGGATAAGATTCTGTACAATTCGAATTTTTCAATGAATTTTGAGAGAGAAGGGGATAGCCTAAAGACATCAGTTATCAATAAAGCCTTGGTTAGTGCACAATGGAGATTATTCTATCATCAGTTTATGGTTCTCAGAGTAGACCTGGCGTCATTCAGCCTGCTGTATCATGATACTCAAAGGGAGAAAACAATGAAAATCTAGTTACACTGAATACCAACTTATTCCGTAACTTGGTCCAATTTAGAGTACTGTATTCTAGATAATGGGAATACCTTTAGATAGATACTTTATTGATCCCCTAGGAGAAATTCAGGTGTCCAGCAGCAGAAAACACATCCATATAAACACAGAAGTACATAAATTATAAAGATTTCTAACTAACTAACATTTATAAAAAATGACCTAACAATAGTGCATATTTGAACTCATACAGGTCTGTTGTACAGTCTGACAGCCGGAGGAACAACGGATCTCTTATTATTAACGCATTATTTTGTTAATGTTAATTAGAAAAGGATAAGGATACTGTTTTTGCAAACATTACTAAATGTGAAAAAATCTTTGTAATATTCAGTTGAAATTGCATAATCAAATACCTTAAAAAAAACTGAAGGAATACATTTTGGTAACAGTTTACTGAATACAACCAAAAGAAAAAGTAATCATTCCAAATACATCAATGAAAAAGGCATGTACATTTTTAATAATGAAACTGTCCTGAGCTGAACACAAATCAGTTTGATTCGATAGCATCTGTAAATCCACAGAATAAATCCACAAATTATCTTCATAATGACAAATCATATCTAATAAAACTCTAATTTAACGTCTGACTGTCTGTCAATACGTACGAGCATGAAGCTAGCAGACCATGCCTACTGATGGAAATGGGCAGATTAGTTTTACAGATACAGAGATTAGATCACATCTGGGAGTAAGATTTCAAGATCCTTGAGAGCAGCCATTTATCAAACAGGCCAAGGACACAGGGCTATGTCGTGTTTTTAACTATCTTTCAAATTGTCACAACAAATTAGAGAGATAACGTGAGCCATAAACAAAGTAGCAATCAGATGTAAATATTTGGACCATACAGTGAAGTTCCCATTTCTTTTATTATCATTGTTTTTAGATCATTGTTGGTGATGTAACAAAGAATTGCCTTTAATTTTTAAATGAAATGCAGTAAGTACTTTTGACAATAACATAATTAAAATAGTTCCTCCCCTTGGCATAACTATGACCAGGAAGATTTTGCTGGAGAACAGTTAAACCTATGAAGAAGGGCCTCAAGGATTTCAATACATGGGTTAGCAGTGCTCGTTTGTCCCTGGACAGAGATAAACAAACTTACATTATGTTGTTAGCGGGTGATGAGAATTTTAAAAGCAAGTGCATTCATTTCCAAATTATAGCTAATATAATTATGATTTTGAATCAATTTAGATTCATCTTGCAAATCCATTATTCAAAGAGAAAGCAGGATTAGCATCACACAAGTCTCATTTGTTTTCATTCAGTATCTATTCACACCATCTTTTCCACAACAAGAATAAAATGTGTAAAATGGTTGTGGAAGAATTGCTTAAATATTTGTATGAGTTTGAGAAGGAAGGGGATTGCAGAGTGAAATTGTGGCGGGACAGAATTGATGAGAAACCGTGGCGTTATCTACGCCCTGAGCTCTGAATAAAGATCAACAGATGAAGAGCAATAAATCTGCCGTGTGGGTCGAATCAGAGGAAGAGGTATGTGGAAAAGATCGAGCTGGTACAATTTCAGAAAGTCATAAAAAGAAATACAGGGCTCCTTCAGAGACTATAATTAGACGGGAAAGTGGGAGAGCAGGTTTTCAAAAACCTCAACCGACTGTGACGCTATAAGAAATATATGTATTGTAAAAAGAGCCACATTTGCTATAATCTCATGCTTATAGCAATACCCACATATGATAGTTTGTACTCACATTTAAAACATTAAAATCCATAGAGGGGGTAATACGCAGATTTTTCAAGTTTGACACAGACAGTTACTGAGCTAGAAGTTTACTTTTCAATTTAAATCAGAAACCAGAGCGAGTTGGAGCAAAACTTTGTCCATGAGCTCTTCCCTATTGGGCTTCATTGTCCAGCTATATACAGTCTATGGGCCGGAGTCAGAGAATATCCATATGCATTCCGTAAGTGAGGTTTTTTTAAATTAATTGATTACGATATTGTCAAAATTGTGTAATTCCTTTGCATTACTGTACGAATTGTCATTAACTAAATTATATTTTATGTCCCTTTCTGTAATTTCTATTGCCACTAAACCCCATTCAAATAATTATTCCTCCTATTTTTCCTCCTATGTAATGTGCACAACTTTGACTGAAATCTCCCCACTGAAAGGAAATCTTATGTTATAAATTGTCCTTTAACACTGTACTATGCGACGAAAACATATTCAATTGCACTAATGAAGAAAACTAAAAGGAGGGGAAAGAAGCAGGAGGAGCTCTGAGTAAAAGCAAATATCTATTCAATGTGTAACTTTGATGCTTCTTGGCCAGGATTAGCTCGTATTTTAATCTCGATGGGAATCTTAGAGATAGAAGTGTCCACAAACAAGTATAGGATGATGCATTATTCAAGATGGGATCAAATCGGCATCAATTCTTTAACCTTGTGTGAATATTTATTTTGGCAAAGCAGCCTAATGCATTACAGAAGATGTGCTTTGCCGAAATGGTGCAGCTCGAGTCTTGACTAGAACCAGGAAGTATGATCACATTAGTCCAGTCCTCAGGTCTCTGCACTGGCTTGCTGTGGCTCAGAGAATAGACTTTAAAACAGCTCTGCTTGTTACAAGTCTCTCCATGGCCTCGCACCAAAGTACATTAGTGACATGCGAGTGCCATATGAACCAACTCAGACTCTGAGGGGCACAGGGACGGGAATCCTGCTGGTGCCCAGAGTCAGGACGAAACATGGGAAGGCTGCATTTCAGATTTAAGCAGCTAAAATTTGGAACAATCATCCTGAAAGCGTCAGAACGGCTTCTTCTCTGACAATGTTTAAAACCAGGTTGAAAACGGTTCTGTGCATACAACTGAGGGATTTCATATTTGTATCTTTATTTTGATTTTAATGCCTAGTGTGATTGTTTCTGTCTTGTTTTGTTCAGTTTGTGTATGAATTGTGCAATACAAATAAACTTGCCTTGAATTAATCCATTAGAATACATAACACGACAATACATGCCACGACAGTGGCTCAGTTGGTAGAGCATTGGCCTTTGAGCCTGAGGGTCGTGGGTTCGAGCCCACCAGAAGACCTACTTCACGGCTCCCACGGATGTCTGCTGTCGTTGTGTCCTTGAGCAAGACACTTAACCCCACTTTGCCTGAAGCCCCCGCTGAAAAGATCAAAGCTCCTGTGGACTCACCACCTGCAAGAGGATCAGTGAGGGGCTGGTGCTCTGTGAACTGGGTGCAGCTCTGACTGCCCCCCGACCCAATGGAAATGGATTAAGGGAAAGAAGATGGATGGATGTAACCTTGCCTGCAAGCTGAATTCTCGCGGTATTTGTGAGTTCACAAACACTCGAGAATACATCTTGTACCGCTCCCGCTTACACTTTTCGAGTCGAACCACTGGGTGTGCGAGCCAATCACGCGCCAGTCTGGGGGTTTAGGGCGGGATATCCGGGTTTGACGAAAGCAAGAAGTGCCGGGCCGAAGCAAAACAAACATGGCTACGCAGGAGGACGGACGCAAAGTCAGTTTTAGCAGAATCTCCAATTTCTTTTTTGAAAGATGAACAGCGAGAGGCGCTTTGTACATTTCTGGACGGCAACCTTGGTAGGCGGGCACACAGCGTCACTTCGCCCAATCAGCTTCAAGTATTCTGCTGCTTACCCCTCCTTTCCCCGAAAGGATTCTCCGGGAGAAATCCCAGATTGATATCGCGGAGAACGCGTTAGAGTTCTACACAATCATCAATCTGGCTTTTGCCAGGTTAGGATGGATGGACAATACATAACATCAACCAATTATAATTAGCTTGTATATCTACCAAATGTAACTCTTCTTAATTCTTCAGACTCAGAAAATGTTGAATATCTCAATGCCTCTGGACATAATGCTTAACTAAAACATCAATTATAGCAAAAATAAAATCCACAGTTGGAAGTCTTTTTGCAAACACTGCAGCAACCCAAAAGTGTGTCAGGGCTCATTAAGACCTGTGGACTGTTATTTTTAAGAGAAAAAATATGCAGTTACAATTCTCAGACCACATTGACATTCTACCCGGGTTCACACAGTCCAACAGTGAATTTCAAGTATAAATCCAGTGAGCATTTTAATAGGATGATTTCCAGTATTTTTGGTATTATGAAAAGTTAACACGATAAAACGACACATTCCAAAAGACTTTTACAACAAAGAGGTCTGCATAATTCAATCAAACTGACAAAAAAAGATTTAAAAATTTCTGTTAGTCACATTTTTTGTTTAGAAGCCATCAGTGTCACCATGTCTCTTTCATTCATTAGATTAAAAATGTTTCTTAAATGTAAAAATACTATTTGAATACAAAATATCCAATCCTAGAACAGACTTGTTACTCAAACCACTATTAGTGAAACTTAAATTTTTACAAGCTATTTGATAGTAAAGAAATGCACAGGCTTGATAGACTCATGACCAAGTCAGCTATATAATCTAGTAGTATCACAGTAAGTTGAAAAACAGAAGTAAATGGAATATACTTTTGATATACTAATTTTCCGAGTTTCACCTGGACGATTAAAAAGCCCATTGACTCAGTACACAGAGCTGTATATTTGTACTTTATTTAATATGGACAAATCCCTAAAGCTAAAACTTTAATTTGACTTCCTGTTTACAGTTCTCTGGTGCTGGCCAAGTAATAGCAGCCGATATGCTCTTGGGCATAGATACTTCAATCACCCGCTAGCTTCAGGCAACAACATGATTAATGTAAGGGCTCCTGGCTTTCAGAGTTCAGTTTGCACCTGATATGAAAAGTTACTTGTTGCAAAAATAAAACTGGTTTGTTTTCCCCAAACTAAATCAATATGGTCGAGATTTCACATACAGTGCATACAAGTGAAAACTTAACATTGCCTGTGGGAGTTGATAATCATTAGCTCAAGTGCAAAAAGCAGAATTAGAGCAAAACATTGCATATACTCAATGTCATAATGAGCAAATTCTTAAAATAAAAAGTTGCATAAGGTCACTATGCAACTAACTATTTAATTTTGTGAACTACTTTAGTGACCAACTAATTGACGTGATGTCAACAACTTCAATTGAATTTAATTTCTAAAATAATAGTACATGGTTGACCATATGACCCCTGTGCTATAATGTACATGGTATTTAAAAAAATATGCACTATTGTTAGGTTGTTAGTTAGAAATGTTTACAATTGATGTACTTATGGATGTGTTTTCTGCTGCTGGAAACCTGAATTTCTCCAATGGGGGATCAATAAAGTATCTATCTATCTATCTATCTATGTATTCTAAAATAGTCCCTCCCCTTTGCAAAACCACAACCAGTGAGACTAAAGATGAATGTGTAGATGATGCAAATGTGATTAAAGGAAGTTAGTTTTTGCCATTGGAATGTTGTCACATATTAATTGGTAGTACAAATATATCAAAACTAAAATGTAGCAAAAAATATATTTTTTTAAATGACTAAAATAAGAAAACATTTGATAATTTGGGAAGAAATTTCAACCAGTAGCCACATCTCATAGGAGCGGTTTACTCAAGTGAGTTTCTGAATATTTTTTGCTTGGATAACTTTGATTAATTTTGTTTTTAAAAAATAACAGTTGTAAAAGAGCATCTTACTATCACTGTGTCTCGACTTTGGTATAGAGAATCAGGTCTATTCATAGGTATAAAAATAACAGTTTGAAATATTAATATTACATTACGTTACAAAACTTACTTGTTACTTGTTTAAACCGGTAAATTACAAATGCAACACATGTTTGTTGGTAGCAGAGCACACAAACCATTATAAATACACATACTGTGGTTAAGGTCGAGGTTAAAGTATACTTAATTGTACCCATAGGAGGATTTGTCCTCTGCATTTGACCCGTTCTTCGATGCCACTAGGAGAACTTGTCAGGACCAGTGGTCGCTGGGAGACCCATCTCCAGGTGTTGGTGCACGGCTTTCTCCGGAGGGTCATATCGCCGAAACTGAGGACAACTAGTTGCCGAAAAGTAGAACACGGGCAACTGACTGAAACTGGAGACCGACTGTTTATCTCGAGTTGTAAGAGCGCGCACATCGACCGATTTCGGCAACTGATCATCTCCCACCGTCTCCTCTCAGTTGCCAAAAGCCGCCTTGCAACTAGTTGTCCCCAGTTTCTCTGTCGATGTACGCTAGGCCTAACACTACTGTCTGGTGCACTGGCTTCCTGTTAATTTTAGAATTGATTTTAAGATTTTATTGTTTGTTTTTAAAGCTTTGAATGGACTGGCCCCTCCTTACATCTCGGACCTCATCCAAATTTACCATCCGCCCCGCGCGCTGAGGTCCGAGGGCCAGCTCCAGCTCGTGGTACCTAAGACCAGACTTAAAACCCGGGGGGACAGGGCCTTCTCTGTGGCTGGACCAAAGCTCTGGAACGCTCTGCCCCCCCACGTCAAAACAGCTCCCTCGCTGGAATGTTTTAAGTCTCGTCTTAAGACACACTTTTATTCTGTGTTTTTATTTTTATTTATTTATTTTTATTTTTTTTTATATAAATGTGTATATTTATTTGTTGCCATTTTGCATGTTGTACAGCACTTTGGAAACTGCGTGTTTATGAAATGTGCTAGATAAATAAAGTGGATTGGATTGGATTGGTGATTTTTAGATGGGGCAGGTCCAACCAGCTCCCTGTCTTCAAAAAAAAGTTTCAAGTTACATTAAGTCTTTATGCACCAGTTTGTTAGTTTTTTCAGAAAATTGATGAGGAACAGAGAAGAGGTGGAGCCATAGAACTTTATAAGAACGAGAGGACTACTAAAATCAATAACAGAAAAAGATGTAAGAAAAATCTATTGAAACCTTTTTGTTGCTTGTTCCTACAGTCCCTAAAGGAATAAGTCATTTTAATTTGTTCCCTTTGTACTTTTTGGACCACTTTTGAATTTCAAAACAATCCACTATTAATGAAATAGGGAATAAAAGGTTCGCAGACTTTCCCCCTATTTTTGAGCAATGGCAAGGAGAAACCGTGGCGCCGTCTACTCTGCCACTCCGGCAATATAACTGGTATAATTTAAGTGTCATGTACAAATAGTAAGTGGCAAGTCATTGACAGAACAAATATCACATTGTCAGAAACATTGCAAATGAAAACTAGTGGGAGATCATTAGGCTCTGTGTGTGAGAGAAGGCACATGAGAGGAACCTGCCAAAATAGTGGCTTACTATACTATGCCCGTTCAAACTAATTAGCTGGCACCCTGGCAGTGGAATGAAAATAGAAAATGACTCAACCTGCACTTGGCTGGGCTTCAAAAAGGGTCAAAAATATCTTCATAGTCACAACACTAATGCGAACCATTTAAGTCTTTGGAGGCAACACAGAGAAATAAAGAATACAAAAAGAAGAATTGAACCATGCACTTCAAATAAGGAGCCTGGTCGTTTTTGCTAATTGCTTTGCAGTGTCTCCGCGGTGTAAACGAGGCCTATGTCTCTCAGCTGGCACACACAACCCGAGAATGAACACTACTCACTTGGAGACGGTGAAAATGCGCAGACTGGGCAGAGTCGTGTGGATGGAGCACTTGAATCATTTCAAACTGCACACTTTCATTAGAGGAGGGGGAGGGTGCACCTTTTTCTATTCAAGTTTTTCTACCTTTTCCAACCTTGGATGTAGTGACATGAAATAAACATGTGAGGCAGGTGCCCACTCTTACACTATAAATATCATGTCCGCTAACTAACCAGGGTAAGGTCAGTGAGATACCGCCCACAACATCCAAGAACAGACTCATTTACAGTGCCTTGCGAAAGTATTCGGCCCCCTTGAACCTTTCAACATTTCGCCACATTTCAGTCTTCAAACATAAAGATATAAAAATTTTATTTTTTGTCATGAATCAACAACAAGTGGGACACAATCATGAAGTGGAATGAAATGTGTTGGATAATTTCAACTTTTTTAACAAATAAAAAACTGAAAAGTGGGGCGTGCAATATTATTCGGCCCCTTTACTTTCAGTGCAGCAAACTCAGTCCAGAAGTTCAGTGAGGATCTTTGAATGATCCAATGTTGTCCTAAATGACTGATGATGATAAATAGAATGCACCTGTGTGTAATCAAGTCTCCGTATAAATGCCCCTGCTCTTTGATAGTCTCAGGGTTCTGTTTAAAGCGCAGAGAGAACCATGAAGACAAAGGAACACACCAGGCAGGTCCCAGATACTGTTGTGGAGAAGTTTAAAGCCGGATTTGGATACAAAAAGATTTCCCAAGCTTTAAACATCTCAAGGAGCACTGTGCAAGCAATTATATTGAAATGGAAGGAGTATCAGACCACTGCAAATCTACCAAGACCCGGCCGTCCCTCCAAACTTTCATCTCAAACAAGAAGACTGATCAGAGATGCAGCCAAGAGGCCCATGATCACTCTGGACGAACTGCAGATAACTACAGCTGAGGTGGGGATGGTGTGTTCAGGGTGATGAGCTGTGTTGCTTTTACGCCAAACATATCGTTTTGCATTGTGGCCAAAAAGTTTGATTTTGGTTTAATCTGACCAGAGCACCTTCTTCCACATGTTTGGTGTGTCTCCCAGGTGGCTTGTGGCAAACTTTAAGAGACTTTTTATGGATATCTTTGAGAAATGGCCACTCTTCCATAAAGGCCAGATTTGTGCAGTGCACGACTGATTGTTGTCCTATGGACAGACTCTCCCACCTCAGCTGTAGTTATCTGTAGTTCATCCAGAGTGATCATGGGCCTCTTGGCTGCATCTCTGATCAGTCTTCTCCTTGTTTGAGATGAAAGTTTGGAGGGACGGCCGGGTCTTGGTAGATTTGCAGTGGTCTGATACTCCTTCCATTTCAATATAATTGCTTGCACAGTGCTCCTTGAGATGTTTAAAGCTTGGGAAATCTTTTTTTATCCAAATCCGGCTTCAAACTTCTCCACAACAGTATCTGGGACCTGCCTGGTGTGTTCCTTTGTCTTCATGGTTCTCTCTGCGCTTTAAACAGAACCCTGAGACTATCAAAGAGCAGGTGCATTTATACGGAGACTTGATTACACACAGGTGCATTCTATTTATCATCATCAGTCATTTAGGACAACATTGGATCATTCAAAGATCCTCACTGAACTTCTGGACTGAGTTTTCTGCACTGAAAGTAAAGGGGCCGAATAATATTGCACGCCCCACTTTTCAGTTTTTTATTTGTTAAAAAAGTTTAAATTATCCAATACATTTCGTTCCACTTCACGATTGTGTCCCACTTGTTGTTGATGCATGACAAAAAATTAAAATTTTATATCTTTATGTTTGAAGCCTGAAATGTGGCGAAATGTTGAAAGGTTCAAGGGGGCCGAATACTTTTGCAAGGCACTGTATCAGCCAACACTTTCTCACATGCCATTTTACATAAAAGAAACACATTCTCACCTTGACCTCGATGAAGTCCGGTTGTCCCATAGCGATGAGATCTGCGTAGGCCAACATCTCCTCTACGTTCCAGGCTTTGACCAGGGTCAGTCTGTACACGGTCCTTTGATTCTATAGGGGCACATATATGGATTACATTCTAATAAATCATAATTTCAACACATTTCAACAAATATGGAAAAATAATTTACTTCAAATCCATGAGAAACTGTTGTACCACTATCATTAGAAAGCCCAATGTCAAGTGTTAGTTATTTATATATTCTTAAACTTATATAATAGATAATATAGTCTATATGCAGTATCAATATTTGGTACAATATTGGAAAATATATAAGGGTTTTATGAATTCCCATTTCATTATATCTTGGAACAATCCACACCATAGAAATGAGAATTTTTAATTTGAATAACATAATCCAATAGCCTTTATTAGAACACAGGAAATAAATATGTGGTTATGGTATATTAAGGGAAAATTCCATTCCGTTCCATTTCATTATTTCTTTGTAGAATGGTTTCAGCCATGTTGCCTCTTCTAAAGGTTACAAAAAACCCTCTTGAGCTATTTAAAATCATTTTTATCCTTGAGTACCACTAAAGAAATAGTACAAAGAAAATATGAAAAGATGGACAGAAATGAACTACACATTCATAACAAAGGGAAGTATAATAGATTTTGTCCCTCATTTAGCCTTTCAATAGAAGGTTTTCTGTGACCGAGGGTCCTTTCGGTACAGTGGGGAGGGGGATAATTGGTCAGAGTGAGCAGGGAGATATTTTAAGCTTTCTCCCTTTCCAAATCCAATGGCAAAGCATGACTATCAATCCTCTGGTGAGCAGCCAAAGAGGCCAGGTGGAGAGCAGGAGGGAGCTGTCCAGCCGGGAGCCAACGGAACCGATGAGAGACTAACCACCATCAAAGTCACAGTGGACATCCAACAGGCAAATGGACAAGCAATAGATCAAGTACTCTTGGCCACAAGGGCTGCACAATCTTGGCAAATTAACCTAACCTAATATAAGTCTATTTTTTCTGACAAACATTGCTTTCCCCACTAGTTGCAAGTTGATTTTGTTAACTGCATCGTAGAGACACAAACACAGTTATAAATGACTTTTGCAATACGTATAATTGATAATTTCTTCCTTTGTAGAATGGTTGCAGCCAAAATTTTGCCTCTTCTCAATGTTACAATAAAACTGTCTTGAGCTATATAAAATCGAGAAAATAGACAAAAAAATAGACAGAAACACCTTGCTAGAGCAGACCTATGCCAAGGAGTGCAGTTTCTTTCCTATGAAAAAAAAAAAATATCCAAACAGTGATTCAGATCATCTCCACTCTCCACTGGGGCATTCTACACATTACCTGAAAAGTTTGTTCAAATATTTCCATAACTTTTTGAGTTATGTTGCTCACAGACCGGGTGGAAAAATCTATAAACAATTTGTGCCTCCGTTTGATCAAAACAAATATTAAAATAATCCGCAAATGTAATTATAGTCTGACTAAAAATAAAAAAGTCAGTTGACAACCATCTTCCTCCTAGAATACGATCATGAATAAATGAAATTCTTCTTAAACGCTGTGACATATTTTCATTTCATTGTTTCTAAGACATTGATGACCTGTCTCCTTAAATATCCCTCACAGATGCCCTCTGTGTACCAACTGATCGGTTTTAAAAGCACTATTGTGTGATTGATGAGCTGCCAAAGTTGTTCAAGATCAAAGCAGGAGATGTTCTGACAGATTAATCGCAGTGGTATTAAAACCTCCTTGTTTTTGCGTTTCGCCCTCGTGAGGCCTGAACCGGAGCCAACCTTTGACACAGTGATTTTAAGAATTTGGACTACGGACATCATCTGGGAAAAAGAAAGATGTGAAGTGGATTTTAACGACTCAAAATGCTATTCAAATGGAGATTAAGCAAACGAACCGTGCATTTTAATTCAGGGTCTAAGTTTCTTGCTGATGCCCACACTATTGTATTGTGTTTTCATGTTTAATCATGTGGCTGAATTCAAATGTGATGTAAATAAACACAAATTGAAAAGGCAAACTCGCAATTGCCATCTTGTTCTGTCATTGTCAGCTTAGTGCAGACTTTGTGTCTAAACAAATAACATCAAAGCGAGCCACCCATTGCTTTGATGGTATTCTCCTGTTTGAAAATTGTGCTGTAGCCTCCCACTGCGCAAGATTAAGAGATTTCCCACATAATAGTTTAAGAAAGTTAATTATGTCTTCTATTGCCAGAAATGTAACTTATGTGTTTCCATCTAATAAACTTCCCCAATAGCGCAGTCTACAGTTGACATCATGCACTCAGACAAACAGCAGCACTGGGGGATGTGTAAACAGAAGTACAAATAAAGACCAGAATATTCATGGGAGGGATGCAATCGAAATGTAACCTACCGGACTACTAATACTGGACTCAGACTTAAATTTTAATAGCCACATCAAATCAGTAACATCAGCAGCTTTTTACCATCTAAAAAACATTTCCAGGATCAAAAACATAGTGTCTAAAGCAGACTTGGAGATTCTTATCCATGCATTTGTCTCCAGTAGGTTAGACTACTGCAATGGCCTGCTCACAGGTCTGTCCAAACAGGCTGTAAAACAGCTGCAGTACATTCAAAATGCAGCAGCTCGAGTCCTGACTAGAACCAGGAAGTACGACCATATTAGTCCGGTCCTCAGGTCTCTGCACTGGCCTCCTGTGGCTCAGAGAATAGACTTTAAAACAGCTTTGCTTGTGTACAAGTCTCTCCATGGCCTCGCACCAAAATATATTAGTGACATGTTAGTCCCATATGAACCAGCCCGGACTCTGAGGAGCACAGGGACTGGACTCCTGTTAGTGCCCAGAGTCAGAACTAAACATGGGGAGGCTGCTTTTCAGATTCATGCTGCTAAAATCTGGAACATTCTTCCTGAGGATGTGAGACAGGCCTCCTCTCTGACTATGTTTAAAACCAAGTTAAAAACTGTGCTGTTTAGCTGTGCATACAACTGAGGGATTTTATATTTTTATCTTTCTTTTTAATGTTCTGTGATTATTTATGATTTTAATGCTATCTTGTTCAGCACTTTGAGTTGCCTTGTGTATGAATTGTGCTATACAAATAAACTTGCCTTGCCTTGCCTTACCGGTGAAACCAAACTTTGAATCAACAATTCTACATGTAACATTATCTGTGAGAAATGACTCTCACTCTTTCTTAAGTTTCTCAGTAAGAGGAGCTAACATGTTCTGGCTATTTTAGTGTCTTTTGTGATTGTTTCTATCTTGTTTTGTTCAGCACTTTGAGTTGCCTTGTGCATGAATTGTGCTATACAAATAAACTTACCTTGGCTTCTTACTCACGTAGACACACATTACTCACTTCAAAAATAGTGACATTGCTGTTTCACTGTGAGGAATAGCCGAGCCCATAATTCTCACAGTAAGTAGAGGACATTTGCTCATATAGTCTGTATTCAAAACAATCATTACATGAGGCCATTTTAGATATTTGCTCCTCTGATGGTCGCTCTGCTCATATTTGCTTCAAACAACATAATCTACAACTCAAATAAAGGAGCAGACCCGGAGCCTCGCTGTCAAAGAAACTGCAACGTTTGAAGTAACATATAGTCCTATTTAGGACTTAACAAAACCGCTGAAATTGCCAACACAGATCAGGGAATCAAACAGTTCAAACACAAGAAATGAAATAATATATCGCAATACTTTCTCCAGTGATTCGATTATCGATATGCATTTGCCAAGTATCTATCGATTTTTGAATTTTTATTTTTTTGGAATCGATTTTTTTAAATTGGTATCAATACTTAATATATGGCTACATTACGCATCTGCATTCCATTTATCATTAAATAAAGTGTATTTTTTCTTTTATTTATGCCATAAATTGGCATATTGTATATTTCTGACCAATTTATCGATAATCGCCATATTGTGATAAAATCTTTATCGTGATAATATCGTTATCGTGATATTATCGTTATTGTGAGCCTTGTATCGTGTATCGTATCGTATCGTGAGGTACCCTTAGGTTCCCACCCCTAGTCCTATTCACAAAACTTTTTGCAGATAAAAAAAGACAATACATTAAGACAGTATTGAACAACATCTCTCCCATATGGACCGACGTCAATATGTTTTTTATGATTTCATTTCTTGTGTTTGAACTGTTTAATTCCCTGATCTGTGTTGGCAAATTCAGTGGTTTTGTTAAGTCCTCCGATATAACTGTAGTGTACTAGTGATTTAGGGATATACAAGAATACATTGAATTGAATGAACTTTTATAAGATAATAATGAAAAAGTGAAATGCGTTGTGTGACCTTCTTACCTTCTCTCCCAGTGCTTTGAGGCAGTCGAGGAAGCGCGTCCAGAAATCCTTAAACAGCGGGCGGTCAATCTTCTTCAGGCTGTCTTTGGTGCTGGCATCTACACTGACATATAGCTGGGTTACAGGCACCAGGTTTCTGCAGATAAGACAGAATAAGAAAACTAAAGGGGAAATTTGACATGCCTACTGGGACTCACTCAGGAGAGAAAAGACAGTTGAAGAACAAAATGTGGCTGTCGCTGTCTGGCGCTTAAGACATTCACTCCTACACAAGGGTAAGTTTCATAGTGCATATTTACCATAATGCAATTGTAGTGCATTCCTAATTCCCACAACAGGATTTTTTTTAAACTTCAGTTCAAAATTGCAAAAATACCTGATTTCCTGAGGGAACTGGGCATTTGTGACCAGAAAGCTAGAAATCCGATGTGAGTGGAGAAGGCGGAGAAAAGTATTAATTTCAGGGTACATAATTGGCTCCCCCACCAGAGACAGAGCACAGTGCTTCACAGCCAGACCCTCTTCATATCTGTCTGCTTTGACTCCTGGAACTCCTGCAGAGGACAGAGAGCACAGATTCAGTCACTGTATGAATGTAGATTGCGTTTTGAGTCCTTTAAAAGTTCAACCACTGGGACATGCAAGCCAAGACTATGTGTGAAATTCTTATGTAGCTAAAGACATGCACACACCAATCAGTCTACTCACACTCATTAAGGAAGAAACGTCTGGTCCAAACCCACCCTGCCCCGAGGAAGGTTCTGTGCGAGCCCATATGTGTAACCATGCTGCTCATGCTCACAATATTTTATCTATGGAAATATGTATAATCTTTTCTTTAGGAAAATCACTTCAACTCTCAACCATGTTTGTTTACAGCCGTGTCTCGACCTTCATTAACTGATTTAAATTTGCTGTGATAAAGTGGCCCAACCAGATGAATGCTGCTGTGAGTGAAACTCATGACCAATCACACTGTTTTGTTTGCTGCCAATTACGCAGGCAGAGACTTCTGCAGGGCACGACTGTGTCCTTTGGTCAGACCAAAAAGTCACATGCTGGCGACATCGCCATGCCAACCACTGGCTTCATACTGCTGATGCACAGGCCTTAACTCATGTTAACTGTTGCTTTCTTTGTGGTCACGCTCGACCCGCGCTGGTCTCTTAGGGACTTCTTAATAACGAAACATAACATAACATGATGAACATATAGTTATGCAAATAGTAAAACAAAACTGTACCTTTAAACTCTCGAATCATGTTTTGATGCTTCTCTAAAGAATCTTGAAGGATTTTTTCTGCAGGATCCATTTTCCAGCGCCACTCAGTGCCCACTGGGTTTGTGTGATGCCTAAGAGAGAACACATGAAAACACATACTCAACCCTGTACATTTAAACACATAAAACAGCAAAAGAATATTTCAAATAACTTATGTTGTTAATTGAAATATTTGATGCCTGCTGTGATGCTACATGTCGGAGTGTGGCGCTGCACTGACAGAAACATCACACAGCAGTGACAGTGACCTTCAGCTCTGAACAGACCAGAGGGGATCACCAGTCAATGCCAATGCCTCAATCAATCAATGTCTGACTGACTGTTATAGAAACTATTCAGCTGTATTAAAAAAAGGGGCATCAAATCTATCACCATAAAATAAATCAAAATAAGAGACCAATTATTCATTAGATCGATTAATCTTGAATTGACCTGCATCCAAGCTTGAGAATGGTTTGGGGGCTGAGGGCTACAGAAGTATCATATCAAGAAACAATATTGTGATCATACCTCCAGCAGAAGACACACTTGTTGGCACAAGCGAGGCTGGGTGTGGTCTCCATGCAGCGGTGAGACTCAATGCCATAGAAAGTGTGCTTATAACATCCTCCTCTTCCTCGCAACATTGACTAGACGCAGCAAAAAAGGAAAATGTATACGTTATAATTTTAAAAAACAATCAGTAAATTATGTCACACAAGTAAATTGTCTTTTTTTAACATGCATTACCTTGGTCCATCGACAAAGCTTCACTCCTGAGTGGCTTCCAATTAATTTATAGCCTGAAAGAGCATTTTTTATTTAGATGTAGGATTTGTAGTTTAGTTCACATAATCTAGTACAAATAAAACAAAATTCCCAGTATGTTAAAAAAAGCCCTAATAGCTGTGCACCAGGGATCTCCAACCTGTAGATTGGGAGTCACCAGTAGCACACCAACCCCTTACAGGTAGCTCGCCAAAGGATTTAGAAATGAACAAATCAAATAATATACTTAATATTTCTGATTGTATTATTCATTATTATTACTTTGTGTACATTCACTTACTTTGTGCGCTAGTAACAAATATGTGATGATAAATAATGAATCATTATCAAACTCAGAGATCCCAGGGCCGCTTAAAGGAGTAGCTCTCTGCCTTTATCGTCCCAGGGAAGTAGCTCTCTGCCTGAAAAAGGTTGGTGACACCTGCTGTAGTCTAAAAATAATGTCATTTATTAATTGCAAATCTGAAAGACAGTGTAAAAGAAAACGGTGCATCTTGATTTGACGTCCAGAAAATTTTCAATTCAGGAACGTGGAAAAAAGCCTTGTGTGAAGATGTATTTGAGAGCGAGGAACGAGTTAGAGCTTTCCGCAACATTAGTCTTTTCACTACTTAAAAATCAGACTTTTTGTAATCCGTAGTCTGTTTTAGTCGATCGATTTCACAGTGACATTTGTTTACTGTTTTATTTGTTTTATTTTTGTCTTTTAATGTTGTTTTATGTCTGTATTTGTCTGTGCACACTGGTGACTTTTGCTAATGTATTCCAATGTGGTGTTTTTACTGCAAATGGCAAATAAACTGAATCTGAATCTGAATCTAGTCTTAGCTCAGTACTACTAAGTGTGAAGGATTATCTGGCTGAAAAATGAACGAGGGTGAACTTAAATTGCAAGGAAAATTCAGCTAGGAAGGGCAACACCAATTGATTTGATTAAACATCATAACTATGCATACTTTGATTCATAGTTCATTAAAATGTAAATGTGCAGAAATGCTGACAACCAACATGTCTGGGCCATGATTAAATAATGTCATGAAAAGTCATCAGTGGCGTTAAACATTTGCTCATGTTTTGTGCCGATTTCATTCTAATCTAGAGTTTTATATTTGTAATCATTGTGACGTTTCCTCACCTTGTTTTGAGAGTGCATCCCTCAGGGCGGGAGTGATCATCTCTCTCCTCTCCACTTCATCTTCAGCCTTTTTAACACCGTTTAGTTTGGACAGTTTTACCATCTGCTCCTCGTCTTTGCTCTGAGGAAATAAAAAGGCAAACATTTTGGTGAACCACCGCACACACACAATACAACACATTTAACATTCTTATCTGTGTTCAATGAGACAGTTTTATCTCAGATTCTGAAATGTCAGTGGAAACATACTGTTAATTATGGTCAATTAACGAATGGGATAAAAAGGTACAAATGAAAAATTCACTATTTTTAAGAGGAGATGAGGTCAAATTCACAAGAGTTTAAACTGTAGAAAGATCTCACAAAACTAGATGATAACAAACAATAAATAGGATATTATATTGGATCCGAGAACAGACAGCAATGTAATTACCAGACGGGTTGGCTTCAAAATGCATTAGCAGTATTTTGTAACAATATACTGAATTTTTTTTTTAAGGTGGACACCAAAAAAAGTCCCTTATTGCAATGACCACAATGTGCAAAATAGTGGTGCTGCAAACTGTAATCAAAGTGTTATAATGTAGAAAAAAATGAGAACTTATGAAGCTTTTGGTTACTATCGCAATTCCCCAACAAAAAATATTTGACAAGCGTTGCCCTTATTTCAGTCTGATTTGCTGCAGCTCTTTTTCCCCCTCCAAAAAAAATGACAATTTTTTTTTCACATCCATTTTCCTCTTCCTGAGTCACTTTCTGCTCTCAATCTGTGCAGTGGGTGTCCTTGCTCTTACACAAGCCTCTGCTCTCGCCGGCTTGGGTCTGGTGTCTATCAAACCATCTGCCATTTCTGCCCATTTCTACTTGTAAAATTTCATCTGAAACATATTTGAGCTGCCTCTGTGTGTAAAATTGTGAACTAATTGAACGATAAGCATAAAAACGTTTACCTTTTTAACTCCCTTTATAATGTTTCCAAGATCTTCCATGTCAACAACTGGTCCTTTCTGCTCCTCTTGTAGACCAGACCCCTCATCATCGCTGCTGGACTCAAAAACATCCTCCTAAAACCAAAACAGATGGAGGGGGGATATAAAAATGAGAGGTTTTATGAATAGGATTTAATTAGCTCTGTGCCAATAAAACAATACACAAACACAAGGGCACATCTCTGCGTGTTGGGGTTACAATTCATGGCTGAGCTTTAACACAAACATTTTGGAGGTGGATGTCACTAAGATGGAAATAGACAGCTATAATAGCAACATATAACTGACTATTATAAATTTATGTTTTACAAAAAAATTGATTACAATTTAATTTTCTCAATTATTTAGGTATTATTTCAAATGACTTAAAACCACAAGAAAATGTTGACCACAGAACTAATTGTAACTTTTGTTTAAGAGCTGTTTGAAGGCGACATACTGATAATTTATACAGAAAATCTTGTTTAAAATGAGAATTATACTTTTTTGTAAAACATGCATGTAATGAAGTTTCATGGAAAGTACAAACAAGATAGCACATTCCATTAATTTACTGTAACAAACAATAGATTATACAATTACTAAAATAATGGATAGCAGGTGCTCTCACATACATGCAGCCAAAGTAAAAAGCACAAGGGGGCAGCCCTACTATGGAACAAATACAAGTCATGTTTGTGGAGGCGCAAGCCCACAGCCCTACTTTTTTCAGTCTAAAAATAAAACTACAGCTGCACTTAAATATTTTTCATTGAGAAAATCTTCATAAAAGATGACTGTTACACATTGGGTTGTTTGATTAAAAACACAAAATTTCCCGTTCATTCTACAGTCATTAAAAAATTATTTGAATCATAAACCCTCTTCTCAGCACGTATGTAATGATGAATCTAAAAGAGTTGTTAACTATTTCAATACAGTTAACTTCTTACAGCCCAGATCAAAACCAATATTATTTTTTTCTTATGCATTGAGTGGCATATATTTGGAACAAGGACATTGAATTGAACAAAGAAATTAGGAATTTACTCCCCATACGTTATACCCTATGCTGTTACTGTATTTTTAGTTTGTGTCTTTGATGATCTACCAACATAATCTGCCAGCAACATAAAAGGCAATATCATATCTATAAAGCACTAAAAAAGTACTAGCCGTTACTATAACTAATGTACCTCAGTGTTGATGGACTGCGTAGGACTTCCTTCTTCATCGTGCCCATGTTCATGCTTTGTCTTGTTGTTGCAAGTGCCTCCATTTTGACAGTTTCCACTACAGGCCTTCTTGTCGCCTTTCATGAGTTTCTTCAAGCGATTTGAAAACTTTACTTTCCAGGCCTTGAAATCCGCCTGGATGCTGCCATGTTTGCTGTTTACCACATTACAGTCTCCCTCTCCCCTGGTTATGATGCGACTGCCACTCAACATCCACAGCCACTTGTCTACATTTTTGCCCACCTGCAAAAATATAAAAAAACAACAATTTAAAAGTTATACTTAAAAAAAAATGTTACATTTACAATCTTACTGTGTTATAGTGACCAGTGTAAACTGAGTTTCCCAGACCAAAAACTGCATATTTAAGCCCTTTCAGGTAAGTTTTCCCATATCTGAAGTCAGTAGATGCCTCCTCTAGCCACTGGCAGAACCACTCAGCGTTCTCTGTGGGCTTTCCATCAGTGTATGTGGCCAGGAGAAACACACACACGGTTCTGTTGGTGCCCTGTAAAAGGTCATCACCAAATCATGAGAGAATATATAAAACCGCATTGTAATAATAATAGTAATAAGCAATGTAGAAAATTAACCTCGTCTGGAAGTTGATCATCGGGATCATAATCTTTTAAATCAATAACTTCACATGATAAACCTGAGGCCTGGACTTCATCCGAGAGTTCTTTTGCAAAACCCTGTAGGCAAATGAACACACCATGTTGGCAACATGAATTCATTCATTTGTTTATAGGATAAGCCCCTTGAGAAGCATCATCTTGTTTTAGAGATGGTCCTTAAAAAAATGCTATATAGAACAGATGCATCAAAGCAGATAAATGAATAAAAAAGGCATCAAAAACAAGACAAACAGCCACACACAAAACACACACACAGCAGACACCTTGACTGTTGCTGATGTATTTTGCATATGAAATAAGGAAACTGTCATAATTATGAGTAATAGTAATTAAAACTATCATTAGAGATAGAGAATATATGAATTTATGTTTCACAACAAACAAAAACAATGAGGATTCTGTAGTGTACAAAAGCATTTCGAAAAGAGGCAGGAAGGTTAGAAAGCGGATTGTATTACAATCTTACAATCAATGAGTAAGTGATTGTTGTTTTAAAAAGAAGAAAGGCACATACTTTTGCAGTTCCAGTTTGTGATCCATAGAAGATTTTAACTCCAGACACATGAACCACCTCTCTTTTGTCAGCGTTATTCGCAGTTTTCTGGGATAAAGTGTTATTGACACTTTTCTGCAGGACAAAATAGGAACAAATGAATGATGATACGTGACGTGTAGTTTGCATCGGAAACGTTTGAGGCAAATGTTGTATGACCTGTTTTAGCGCCATCTTCTTCACTATGAACCAGATCCCAAAGAGCAGAGCACCTGCAGAATACAGGTACAGCCTGCGGTGCCATGTTGAAGTGATGAAGGACAGAAAAGGACTGTAGGAATCTTCAGCTAGAGAAACACAGTACATTAAAGGTTGAGAAGAGCATAACACAACACACATGACATAAACTGCCCTGACCCTGCTGTGAGATCTATCTTTCTCTGCGTTCATAAAATAAATCAACCAACTACGGACTTTTCTACAAAATACTGATTGTATATAGCTTTACCTTTGTCTTCCAAAGTACAAACGGCATACGGCAAAAGCGGTAGAACGGTTATTAAAGTTTGAACCCTAAAAGTAGAAAATGAAAACATTTTAGTCCCTGCGAGCACATACGATGGGTGACACCATGTTGTTTTAGCGAAAGGAATGCTGGGAAATGTAGTTATTGTAGATCAATATGCTGTGTTAAGGCCATTTGTGTTTCTCCAATATCGTACATACACCCTAACTTTCTATAATCTTTTTTTCAGTTGGATTAGTTCTGTTAGTTCGGTAGAATATAAAGTAAAATTAGAAAATAACGTGCGGAACTAAGGATGAGCCCTGTTTTGTTTTATTCAGGGCTTATTAAGCTGACGCACTGGTTGCTTGATGCTACGCACTTCATGTGGATGAATGTTGTGATCAGTTAAAACAGTAGGTTTCGTTTCACTATAGCTTCATTTAATATTTTATAGAGTCATGTCTATATTTACGCCTACAAATCAAATACGGCTTACCAATGTGGCTGTGGTGCGGATGAAGAAGGGCGGCAAGAGATTTGAGATCGCCTGTTATAAGAATAAAGTTATGGGCTGGAGATCAGGCGCGTAAGTATGATGATTATCATCTGTTTAATTGTTTTGTACAAATACCCTTGTTGTGACCACGGATCTATAAAGGTCGTGACACATTGCAGACTACGAATGTCATGACCCACAAGCAGTTGTAGCTATTGTATTATTATGATTTATTGACAATAGTGTCATTTATATTGTTTTTCAGAGAGAAGGATCTGGATGAGGTGTTGCAAACACACTCTGTCTTTGTGAACGTATCAAAGGGTCAGGTAGCCAAGAAAGATGATTTAACCAAGGCTTTTGGGACCGATGATCTGACAGAAATCTGCAAACAGGTTATATGCCATTGCAAAAACGCTATCATTATAAGACTCCTTATAAAAAGGCTATCAGCCACTGATAATAATAATAATGCCATAACACGTGTCTTTGAATTGCCTTGTGTATGAATTGTGCTATACAAATAAACTTGCCTTGCCTAATTTGTCCTTTTGTTAATAGATATTAGCCAAAGGTGAGCTACAGGTGTCGGACAAAGAGCGACAAACTCAACTGGAGACAAGTTTCAGAGACATAGCAACCATTGTGGCTGAAAAGTGTGTTAACCCTGAGACCAAAAGGCCGTACACGGTTAACCTCATAGAAAGAGCCATGAAGGACATTCACTACTCTGTCAAAGCCAACAAAAGCACTAAGCAGCAGGTAAAGCAATTTAATGTTCATCTTTAATCAAATCCTGTGTTTTATCTCTTTCTCAATCTCTGCATGTTTGACTAATTGCTGTTGTGTTCCTGCTGATGTGCAAAGGCCCTAGAAGTGATCCGACAGTTGAAGGAGACAATGGAGATCCAGAGAGCCCACATGAGACTGAGGCTTGTGCTTCCAGCAAAAGATGCTAAGAGGCTTAAAGAAAAGCTTAAAACACTATTGCAAGTTGTGGAAAGTGAAGATTTTGATGAAGAATTGGAAATGGTATATTTCTTGTAGATTCAAAATTGTAATTGCGAAGTCGACAAGAAAGCATATGTAATTCTTTTTGTTTTTACAGGTTGTTCTGGTGGATCCTGGTTGTTATCGAGAAATTGATGAGTTGATCCGGTGTGAGACCAAAGGGAAAGGTTCCTTGGAAGTTCTTAGTCTGAAGGATGTAGAGGAAGGCGATGAGAAGCTATAGCTACAGCTTCAGTTAGTACACACTTACATGCTCTCTGTTTGACTCTTACTTTATAATGCTTCTAATTCATTCTGGAAATTATATTATATTAAAACATACAAATTATAACCAGACCTTAATAATCTTTATTCTCCGAAGACATCTTGGTCTTCGTATATTTTTCATGATAAAATATGAAATTTGTAACAGTTAAAAACATTGAATGTATTTATGTTTCTGGTTTACCAACAGTAACAAGTGCAAAAAACATTTAAGTCATTGCTACCTTCATATTAAAACACCCATATCTTCAATATAAAAACCAATCAAATGTATTTATGACCATAGAAATGATAATTCTTCCATTTTTGGTTCAGGATAAACCACCTAAAAGTATGATCATATGATAATAACAATTTTAAAAGGATATAAAACTTCCACATTCAATCTGTGTCTTTGGTAAACATTTGTTAACTTTATGCCTTTCGACCTGTCTGGACTGCATTTAATTGCTTTCAAAGTTAAATAACAAAACTAAAAAGTAAACATTCTACCTAGATTTCACCAAATAAACTACCATCACACACCACTTTAAGATGAGGAAATCCTTATATAAGCTCAAGTGTTATTAGTCTTTGGTTTATGTCCTCTCAGACCGGTCCTGCCCCGCGTTGGAATTGGCTGTTTGTGAATGTGGCCCGGTTGATCCTGCTCAGGGGATGGCTCGACTCCTCCTCTGGGGGGGGAGCAGTGGCCACTTCAGTGTGCTCTCCCTGGATTTCAGTTGTGGGACACCTGGTCATTAGAAACACTCCTCCCACCGTCATCAAAGCAAATCCAATCCACCCTAAGTACAGGGCAGGCCCCCAGTCTCTTCTCAAGTGCATAGCCCCCTCTAGTGCCTGGCTGGTGTGATGACATGTCCATGCTGTGGGAACCAACAGTAGGATTCCAGACAAAACAAAAATGGCTCCGGAAAAGACTTTAATCTGACCACGGTGAGGGAACCACACAGCCCCCACTGCACTGATGAGCACAGCAAAAGCCCCAGCTCCAATGGCCGCACTGACGAGAGATCTCCATGTGCGGAAACTTCCAGAAAGAGACATAAGAGTTTGGTAGAATGAGCAATGCAGACTTCCATCATGGGCCAGGTCCCAATGATCCCACTGCAACCACACCCCATCCCAGTAGGCAGGCAGAGAGGCTGTAGCGTTGTCCACAGTTCCGTGCACATTCCACAGAGCCAGGCAGCGGGTCAGGATGGCACAGATCCACCCCACAAAGGCCAAGCCGAGGGCACCGATCTCCAACTGCCTCAACATGGCCACAGTTACTGGCCTGCTCCTCGCTGCCTAACGGCAAACAGCTGGCAGTGCAGAGCGCTCAGCCGGGTTGTTGTTTGTACATGTGCTGCAAGGGAGAGGCTCAGACAGATAGTGGAGGTGTGTGTCACTGGAGCGCTTGCACTGTGGCTCATAATGGAGAAACTGGTTCTTTGGTATTTGTGGAAAACTGAGAGCTTTATCTGGGTGGAGGAGGGAAATCCTACTGTTTGGTCTGCCATGGTTTCAAAACAATCCCTTTATTTTGCATTTGTGGTGGGACAAAGCTCCCTCTGTACTGTCTGTATAAATCACTGTTCGTGTTACTCTAATAAGCTGTGAGTGACTTCAAGATAAACCACTTTGTAACGCTTGATGTTCAGATCAGCAGACTTACATTTACCAAGGGCACTGTAGCTGTCGACAAGTTATTTAGGCACAAATAAAAGCATGTTTTTAGTCAGAAAACTACAACTAAAATAAAACTACAGCATGTTCACCTCACATAAACATGCAAATGAAACATATTAGTTAAGTGCTGATTATTTGCCAAAACACACTCATTTGGTGTTGGTCCAGAGTCCTGAATAATAAATTGTGGGCTTTAATACAACAAAATATTTAAGATTGTACAGAATTCTATCCTTTATTTCAAATCACAATTTAGGATTGACAGAAGAACTACAGAAAATATTTGATTGCAATAAAACATTCCTAAAATATACAAAAACTCACCAATTGAAATTGCATTCCATACTAAACACATAAGTTCCAATTATAAAGGATGAGTCCAAACAAGACCAATTCAATGTGACTTACATAATTTCTTGACTCTTCCAACTTGTATAACCTCTAATCATAATGAATAAACAATGCGTACAATGTTTATTTTTTGTATTTACTTCACACATAGTTTTTTATAGCATAACTGCCCTGTGGAGTGGGCATCTTGGCCTTGGTGTATCTTGCGGAGGGGAACTTGGCCCTTTGAGGTGGGCAAGTAATGCACAGTAAAAGTCCCCCTATAAAAACCAGACCAGATGTCACAAAGCCACAGTAAATAGCTGCCCCCAACTCTTTCTTGAGCACTTCTGGGACGCGCGGATTGTAGAAGTCATTGATGATAGAATTGGCCGTCCATGCTACAGCTACTACAGTGGTGAGAGATGACAGGCAGAAAATGAGTCCCGAGCTCATCACCACCCGCTGTTTGGCTCCAGGATGACTCAGACAGTTAGTGCAGCGGGCCCCCAAGAGGAATATAAGGAAACCAAGGCAGCCCAGGAAAATACTGATGCATATGAGGCCTCGAGCTGCCTGTAAGTCTGGAGACAGGTCAAGGATGGCATCATAGAGCTTACACTGCATCTGACCGGTGTATTCGCTTACACAGGTCATCCATAGTCCCTCCCAAAACACCTGCATGACCACCAGGTGTGTCCCAATGAAAGCAGTCACCTTCCACATGGGCAAGGCACATATCAGGATGGTCCCCGCCACACCTGCCATAGACAGACTGATGCCCAGCTCCTGCATTCCCCCCATGGGACTGCACAACTGCTGTTACCTGCAACAAACAAGAAACATTCAGATCATGTGATGGCGATGTCATGATTGGCTATTTTAATTCATTCATAATAATATAGACACTTATATGACACTTTATAATACAATATATGATACTTTTCATTTCAGTTATATACGTTTTACATCATTTTCTATCCTGCCATTAGTAGAGGACATGTTTAGATTGTCTTTTTAAAGCCTTCTTTTTTATTATTATTGACCTAGTTGGAGGTGGTTTCCCATAAGTGATGCCATACATTCATGCACTTCACGCTTACAAACACTAGGAGGCGACATACAACTAGTAGTGCGAAATGTGAATTGAAAAGTCGGGTTTCTACTGTGGTTTCTGTTAAAAGTACTCAACTATATGTAAGTATTACCTATGGGACTTGACTTTTCACAAGACACAATTAAAATCATTAGTTTTGAGATTGTGCTTATAGTTTTAATGTTGTCATACCAGTTTGCACATTTTGCTAACTGGGTCGACTGGGTCTTTTTTTATCCCGTCATCAATTCTAGAACATGCTTTACTTTCAGTGCATTTCAAAATATTATCCTACTTTTCTTCACATTAGTTTTATTTGTACATAAATGCTCGTAACGAGAATAAATGTGTGAGCTTTAATGTAATGAATGATTCAGCCCTTGTCTGTGGTCCTCCTTCAAATATAATTCAATAATGCCCCACTGTGAAATTTAAACAGTTTATTTTATTATTAAGAAGTTTTGTTACAGAACAGAACAAACTTTTGCGTGGGAAATCTGTCCAAGAGGCACCTTGGCAACAATGTACAGGGTAAAACAAAACGACCTTTGTAAAATAAACCAAATAGTATCCACTGTTATCCACAAATATTCTTAGTGGGCAAACAATGTGTAAACTTGTAACACGGAAGTAAATTATTCCCGGTTACTATAGTATCATGAACAAGAATTCACTTGTTTGTTTTATGTTGTGTCAAGGTTTAGTGAACATGTGTTACCGAAATCTTAGTGTTACAATTTCCGATTTTTTGAACAAACAACACGATACTAACATTTACACTGAACATGAGTCAACTTTGTCCCTGATAGAGTTGTATGAGTGTGTTCGTGTGTATGTGTGTGTGTGCGCGCGCGCGCGCGCGCGTGTGTGTGTCCATGTGTGCGTGCCAGTGCGTGCGTTTGTGTTTCAATAACCTGCCAAACAGGTTTGCTTCAATCTTTCTACAAACAAAAAAATCACGGAGGCTCTTTGACCGAACTCAAGATGTAACCTAAAATGAAACAACATACAAACGCCAACAAAGTGACATAAAAGAGGGATTAGTTCCTTTTAAAAGCAAAACTAAGATTTTATGTGAACTCCTTCCAAGCCAGTCAGTTTGTATAGAGAAAATACAGCAAATAGACGGTACAATTTACTTCATTACTAATCATTTATTTACAAACTTTATAAAAACGTTAAAAAAAAACAATGTTCAGTGCTATTTTGCATAATTGAGATTTAATTCAACTTCAGCTGTGTAATTTTCCTTCATCAGTCTTTTTCCTTCATAATGGGGATATTTATCGCACTTACAGCACCATCATATTTGAACTTCCAACTTAATCATGAATTCTCAGATATAAGTCTTTGTTGGAGTGAGCGATCTGCCTGAGTTTACCCTGCTTCGTCCTGCTGTCGATTTGTTGAGCAAATAATTATCCGACGGGGATTCTTCGCTTTTGGGGCAGTTTGCGCAGAGAAGACCCCCTCCCAGAACCAGAAGGGCCCCTGCTCCCCATCCGACATACAGCGAAGCCCCCAGCTCTCTCCTCTGTGCGTCCACCAGTATGGGGTTGTAGAAGTCCCTTATAATCATGCTTGCAGTCCACGAAACCGGAATAAGACAAAGAAATCCACTGATGATCAAAACCACCCCAGCTGCAATGGAAGCCCTTGTTTTTGCTCTTTCCTCTGGGATGAAGTTGGTGCATTTACCCCCAGCAAAAGCAATCAGAAGACCCGCGATTCCTGTAATGATGGAGACCACGATCAAGGCGCGAGCTCCTTGGAGGTCCGTCCCCAGAGCCAGCATGGAGTCATACACTTTGCACTGCATCTGTCCTGTGCTTTGGACCACACAGCTCATCCAGATGCCCTCCCAGATGGTCTGCGATGTCACTATGTTGTTTCCGATGAAAGCAGTGACTCTCCACATTGGGGCTCCACACACCACGATGACCCCGATCCAGCCCAAAAGGCCCAGGACAGAGCCGAGCAACTGCATTCCCATCGACGTCATTGCTGCCAAGCCAAGTTATGAAGTTGTGAAGTGTTGTCCTCGAAAGCAGGTGCACTGTCTGTGAGGTTCTGAACCGCAGGAAGAATGGGAGGCGTGAAGGCAAACTAATAAGGACACATTAGAAGGCCTGCCAAAGAATACTAACCATGCAGGATTCTTTGTGCTTTGGAACAAAAAAAGATGGAGTCGAACTCTTTGACTAAGATTAGGTTCCATGTGCTTTGTCTGTACTCTCATGAGATTCGGAGAAGAAGAATATAATACTCTATAGTGAAAGAAATAAATGCAATGGTTTGGATCTTATATTTGTATTTTACTGTTGGCTTATTTTATTATATTTTGCTTAATCTTTTGTTGTTAGGTTGTTTTAGGGATGCTGGAATCAAATGGCATTCAATTTGTGATCATCTTGGTTTCCATGTTTGTCTCTTCTTCAGAATGAGCTTATAACAATATCCAGCAATATTCTCCAAAAAAGCCTAAATGAGAATTAGCATATTCGGAAGGGGCTAATGCATGATTAGCTTAGCAACAGCGCTATTAAGCAAAGATTTCTGTGCTTGCATAGAGCCAAAAGTACAGTGGGTGATACACACATTTACACCAGATTTGATTTTCTTTAAATTAATATAATTTGAAATACATTTATTCGTCGAAAAAGGAAAAAGCTAAAATAATGAAGGATATTTACACAATGGGGCCGAACACGTTCTACTGTTTATGCAAGTTAAACATGAGGGCGTTTGCTGCTGTCATGTTGGATCTGTAACAAACTACAAACTTCCGTCTGTCGAAGAATGCATCATCTTCATCTTCCCCCCGTTCAGTGATTGGTTCCCAAATCCACACAACAAGATCAGCCACAGGTTCTATGCTGTTGTGCAGTTCAAAACGGCACCATGGGTATTCCCAGACATCAACTTTTCAGAATTTGCCAAAAAGGCCATTATGACCGTATCTGCCACCTAATACTCTAACTAAACTAATACTCTAACATAAATACAGACTGAAAGAAAGCGAAAAAAACAAGCTGTAAATAAGTATCAGTGCGAGGAGTGACATATCTGAACAATTGTCTCGATCAGTACTGGGTTAGGGAGTGTTTGGGTCAGTGTTATGTCTGTGTCTGTGTGTTTTGGATTGAGTTGGAGGGTTTGGACCCAAATAAGTGCCTGCTTCATCCAACTCCTTTTTAGCTAAGGCAATGCAAGTTTATTTGTATAGCACAATTCATACACAAGGCAACTCAAACTGCTGAACAAAACAAGATAGAAACAGTTACGCAAGGCATTAAAATGAACAATCACAGTAAAGAAAGATAAGAGTATAAATATAAAATCCCTCAGTTGTATGCACAGCTAAACATAACTGTTTTTAACCTGGTTTTAAACATAGTCAGAGAAGAGGCCTGTCTCACATCTTCAGGAAGATTGTTCCAGATTTTAGCTGCATGAATCTGAAATGCGGCCTCCCCATGTTTAGTTCTGACTCTGGACACTAACAGGAGTCCAGTCCCTGTGCTCCTCAGAGTCCGGCCTGGTTCATATGGGACTAACATGTCACTAATATATTTTGGATCATATTTCCTGGTTCTAGTCAGGACTCGAGCTGCTGCATTTTGAATGTACTGCAGCTGTTTTACAGCCTGTTTGGACAGACCTGTGAGCAGGCCATTGCAGTAGTCTAACCTACTGGAGACAAATGCATGGATAAGAATCTCCAAGTCTGCTTCAGACACTATGTTTTTAATCCTCGCAATATTTTTTTAATGTGGCTATTGAAATTTAAGTCTGAGTCCAGTATTACCCCTAGATTTATGACCTGAATTGAAAGTTTTAGGGAGAGGGGCTGGAGATGACAGATGATGCTCTCTCTTTAAACCTGTGCATTGCATTGATTTTTATGTTTGTGTCCTTTTATTGTTATTGTAATTACTGTGCTATACTTCAAGACTGTATGCCCACCTAGAATTGACCTCACCGTTCACCTCTGAATCTTTGCACGCAGGAGTCAGGTAATACTCTAAATACAGTATAAACAAGACAAATGTGCAAATCTTCATGCTGTGTGTATATTTCTGCAAGCCACGTCACTACTTTTACCACTTTAGAATATTGTGGCCTGTGCATCCATTTAGGTGATTATTGATCATTATTGCACGCCGTTTGGTTACTTTGATAAAGGCTTAAATGAGAGTAGTCTATTTTTCCATTTAGTTTTGACTTTTTTTACTGCATACCTGGAATTGAAAATCAATACAATCCAGCCTCCAGTTTTGTTCTTTCACAATTACAGAAGTGTTAAATGCCCTAACCTCACCAAAACAGCTGGCCCCGGATGATTCAGTGTAATTTGCAATGCAATTTAGTAAGTAAGTAAGTTTTTATTTATATACCGCCTTTGCACTGCAGATCTGAGTCTCAAAGCGGTTTACAATTGTTAATTGTAAATAATAATTATCTTACTACGTTTAATATATTAAACGGTTTGATTCTCTGATTGTTGTTGAAGAATCAACAACTTTGTAAAGTCCTCTGAGACGACTGCTGTTGTGATTAAGGGATATACAAAAATGATTTGAATTGAACTTTGACTTGAACTTAGTCGGCTTTGACTCAGGACATTTTCCAAAAATAGGCATCTGTGTGACTGACAATTTTTTCATTCATTCATTTTCTATCCCTTTATTAGTCCATTTCTGGGTCGGGGGGTGGCAATGACAGCTGCCTACCACCAATTTTTTAGTTTTACATAAATAGATATGCCTAATGTTCTCATTTGTAGTTGAATTAATACAGGTCACTTAAGAGCAATCCCAACTCATTGTTTTAATAACAATGGAATGTGATACTGGCCAAGGGTGTGTTCTGTGATGCACTTTTGGAAACTGTCACATTTATAGGAACAAACATAAAATCTACATGATTCAAGATTGTTCTAGATTAAGTATGGGGATTAGGTTTAGGCAATAATATCAAAGGTTAGGATCAGACTAATTTAATGTCAACAAAGGCATGGAAACCCAACATTTTGGTTTAGCACATTTCAAATAGATGTAAAACAAACATAGTATGGTATGAAAAATGTATGAATAGATGTTTAAGACTATTGACATTCAAGATAAGATAAGATGAGCTTTATTGATTTCACAATGGAGAAAGTTACACATTTGTCACATTTGTGCTGACCACTGTCACTGCTAAAATATACAGTTTCTCTGACGGTGCGGCCAAACCTGTTCAGCTGGTAGCTGGTTTGTCTGCCAAGTAATCTGCATTGTTTTTAAAGGCTTGTTCCTTTCCTCATTCTTAAACTGAGCATTGTTGTACATCACACGTCATTGAAACACAACATCTCATTTAAATTAAAAGCATTATTTTAATGAAAAAAAAAAAAAAAACAGAGTAATACTTGATAAAAATATAATAAAAGTAAACAGATTCATTTGAACAATAATGTACACACTCTCATTTTAGTAACAGCACTTCTAATATCCATTTACAAAATGATCTAATTAGAGACAAGCTTAAAGAATGCTTTCTCATAAAGAGCTTTTAAAGGACAAGTCTTTGTGCAGAGGTCTCCTCTTAAACGTAAGCCCGGCTGTCTGTAGACCTAGCTCCAGAGTACTTAACTGGATATTCTGGGCCTTCTTTGGGAGGGCAGGAGCTGCAGAGAAGAGCCCCTCCCAGCAGCAGCAGAGCAGCAGTGCCCCAGCCGATGTACAGCGCTGCCCCCAGCTCCCTCCTCTGAGCGTTGATCATGATGGGGTTGTAGAAGTCACGGATGATGGTGTTTGCAGACCAGCAGACGGGGATCAGGATCAGCACTCCAGCACAGATGAACATGACACCAGCAGCAATGGCCACTCGTGATTTGGCGTTGGGGTCCTCCACAAAGTTGGTGCACTTTCCTCCAGCGACACCCAGCAAGACTGCCATAGCAGAGACAATGATGGAGATGACTATGAGAGCTCGAGCAGCCTGCAGGTCCTGGGGCAGCTCCAGCAGAGAGTCGTAGATCTTACACTGCATCTGCCCAGTGCTCTGGGTCACACAGTTCATCCAAAGGCCTTCCCAGATCACCTGCGCCGTCACAATGTTGGTCCCAATGAAAGCAGTCACCTTCCACATCGGCAGAGCACATACAATGATGGTTCCCAAGAAGCCGATGATGCCCAGGGCAAAGCCCAGCATCTGACGTCCCATTGATACCATGATGGTCCTGGTGAAGATTCTGAGTGCAGCAAAATGTAGTAGACGTCAAGTGTTGCTCGGATGTTCAGGAGAATGATTTCTTGGCTTTGAGCGCGTCTTTCTTAAAGGTGGAGTCAGAACGCCCATCCCTCTGACCTGAAACTTGTGCAGTGACTGACTGACCTGTCAGACAAGATTCTTCTCATGACCAGCAATCGGACATCCTGCAGTTTCGATGAGATGCACATCACTCACCAATGATAGTGCTCGTAAAGAGCACAAACAATGCCTCTGCCAATGCTACTTTTGATTGGCCGGTCTCCGGAAGGCCAGAAGTTTGGCAATACAATAATATGCATCTAAAAGTAAGTAAGTAAGTAAGTAAGTAAGTAAGTAAGTTTTTATTTATATACCGCCTTTTCACTGCAGATCTGAGTCTCAAAGCGGTTTACAATTGTTAGCAGGAGAATACAATAATATGCATCTAAAAGTAAGTAAGTAAGTAAGTTTTTATTTATATACCGCCTTTTCACTGCAGATCTGAGTCTCAAAGCGGTTTACAATTGTTAATTATGGGCATTTGTCTCTCACTCCACACAGAGATGGGAGCGGGGTCGCCAGTACAGGAGGCGCATGCCAGAACTATTGTACATATTTTTAGTGGTAGGGGAAACCGGAGTACCCGGAGGAAACCTACGCAGACACGGGGAGAACATGCAAACTCCACTCAGAAAGGCCCTGGTCCGACCGGGATTCGAACCCAGGACCTTCTTGCTGAGAGGCGAGAGTGCTATCCACTCAGCCACCGTGCCGCCCGTGAAGTCACTTCAAAAGTAGTATTAGATTATCACTGTTATCTTTTCCTTTATTTTCATTTTATAATATTGGTATTTATTTGTTTTTCTTATATATAACACAAATCAATACCCCTTACTTTTATTTTCATTAATTTAAAATGGAAAAAATCTATTGGCTTTATAATTCATTTATTTATTTATTGTATTTATCCTGCATTCAAACAACATTCATATAATACATCTTCATTCTATGTAGCCTATAACACAAGTTTATGTGGCTGAACTTGGTCCAAGAAATTCCTTTTCACTATTTTCAGGATCTCCTGCTGCTTCCTTTCTCAAATGCACACAAGCATGAAACAGCTTAATAAATCTATCGGTTACAAGAACAAAACTATACCTATATGATCTGAATCCAGGAATTTCTTAGAAATTTAACTGTGACTTTTGGCACTCATCTGTGCTTTGTGCTGAGTTTGATGGCCGTATTCTAATTTGTGGCTGTTTTTAAATACAATTCTTGTACAAACCAAGAAAAATACCTGTACATGACCAATGTGAGCTATATCTAAAGTTCCACTTACTGTTTTTTTGAATAATAGAACTTCTAAAAACAACAGTATACAACATTGGAACTATGACACTAACTGAATGAACAAGTTATGTGTGTGCTAAATGGGAAGTTTAGTGGTGGTGTCATTATTCTTGCACTGCTCTGGTGTCATTGAAAGATGTATCAAAATGAGGAAGACTTTCCCCATAGGGATAATAAGTACCTTATGCACACAAAAAATATTTACCACATTTGATCAAACACTAATACTTTTATTTCAGGAAAAAAATAAAAAAGAACACATTTACACAATGATCATATGATACACAGTCTATAAAGATTCAACACATGCAAAAAAGTCACTTAAAAGTCCTTCTTATTTGTTTTCAAAGATATTGTCCACCTCTAGCTGTAGTAGTGGGCTGAAGGGGCCACATAGGGCTTAGCAGCCACAAAAGAACCACTGTATGGTTGGCTCACAGGGGTGTAGCCTGGCCTATACCCACCCTGGCTTGGTGGTCCTGAATATGGGTATATTGGAGGCTTTGGTGGGTAACCTGGATAGCCATAAACCGGCCTTTGAGGAGGGCAGGAAGTTGTGAGGATTATTCCCCCAATGAGGAGAAGAGCCGCAGATGCCCAGCCAATGTAAATAGATGCTCCTATCTCCCTCTTCTGTGTTTCTATGGTCAGTGGATTTTGAAAGTCCGTGATGGTGATGGCGGCTGACCAGCACACCGGAATCAAGTCCAAAATGGCAGCCAAGATAATAAGGCAGCCAGAAATTATGACAACATTGGCCATGGACGCCTCCTTCTTCAAACAGCTCGTACATTTGGCCCCGATGAACGAAATCATGAATCCGACGAATCCGACCACCAAGGAGATGATTATGAGGGCTCGTGCTGCTTGGAGGTCTCTGCTCATTCTCATCAAAGATTCGTTGAGCTTGCACTGCATCTGTCCAGTACTTTGCATCACACAGTTCATCCACAGGCCGTCCCACACGATCTGCCCCGTCACAATGTTGGCTCCGATGTAAGTAGTCACCCTCCACATCGGCGCCCCGCAGGTCACAGACACCCCAACCAGGCCGATGAAGCTGAGGACTTGGCCGGCGACCTCCTTTCCAACTTTCCCCATCTTGCTCTTCCTGGAGAGCTGTTGGCCAAAGTAGCACACCGCTGGTTTGATGGCTGTTGTTTGTGACGGTTGAACGCTGGGATCTCTCTTGGACTGACTAGTTACTCTGGATGGACTAGATTCTTGGTGTGTGGGCTGGAGGAGTGGCGGAGCTTTTAAACACAGGCTTTTTCGTATGCAGATTTACCAAAGCAGTGCAGTAATGTAATGAGAGCCATTACTTGAATTACACAGAAACTATTCAGTATCTATGGCCCAAATCAACCATTGTGTACCAAAGGCAAAAGGCTTATCTACAGAAAAAAAGGTTTTTATCAGAAGGAAAACTTTTTGTGCGTTGAAGTAAAAAAAAAAAAGAATCATCCCTGACAGAGAATGATCTGTACATTGGTCAAAGCTCCAATCATTTATTTTTGTTGGTCAATGCAATTCATGGTTTGTTTTTGTTTTTCGAATCTGAATAGTTTGTGTTTTTTTATGATCGTCTAATTTGTACTTTCTATGGTAGAATGACCACTATAGTTGTAGTCTGCAGTTTGTAAATATAAAATATCCACAGTTCAACATACAATTTTGATTAAATGATTCACTCCAGTATATCAAATATATCACATGTTTTCTGAATTTAAAATGTATTTTATTTCTACATTGTTAGAATTTTGGCCCATGATGTCATCATTTTTACTCAGTAAGTAAAGTTGTTTTGTTCTGTCCTAAGTCAAAAGTAATGCACATGGAGACTCTGAGGTATTCTTTGTTTAAACTCAATGTACAAACTTACAAACAAAATACAAAACAAGACTCTAAACTATATTTTAATAGCTAAATTATATATTTAGCTGCAGCTGCTGTACTGACAACACTTTTTCAGAATTAAACCCACAATTAAATCATGGCAGTGTGAAAATAATTTATTTACAATAATTAGACATTTAGTATTTCTTTATGATGAAAATAGTCCGAGAAAAGTAACACAAAGGGACCGTGTGATGTTGTTTGATTTTATGAGGTTGTAGGTGTAAGTTGTAAATTATATATGAATGCTGCAATTCATATCTATCACAACATTCTGTTTATTACAGCATTTTCTCAATAAAGTTCGCCGACAAATAAAAAGTTATACTAACCCGTTACCATTTTGTACACTAATCATTTTCTATTACTGACATGTACAATTTATGATTAATATTTCCCATATACAAACGGAGTCCTTGCTCGGTTAAAATTGCAGAAAAAATAATGTAGAAATGAATAATTCCTTCATGATCCATCCTACACATACTCTCTTTGTGAGGAGGCGGACTTTACAGGGATAAACTTGGGGCTGTAGTTTCGGTGCAGTTCTTTGGGAGGGCAGTTCCAACACATGAGGCCTCCTCCCATCAGCAGCAGAGCCGCCGCAGCCCAGCCGATGTACAGGGAGGCGCCCAGCTCGTAGCGCTGCGTCTCCAGAAGCAGGGGGTTGTAAAAGTCACTGACAATGGTGTTAGCCGTCCAGGACACAGGGATGAGACAGAGCAGGCCGGACACAATGAACAGGATTCCAGACAGAATGCACGTCTTGGCCTTAGCTCGCTCCTCTTCAATGCAGTTGGTGCATTTGGCGCCCGCAATGCCGAGGATCACTCCCACAATCCCGGCCAGGATGGAGATGATGACCATGGCGCGAGCAGCCTGCAGGTCCTGGGGCAGTGCGAGCATGGAGTCATAGACCTTACACTGCATCTGCCCGGTGCTCTGCACCACACAGTTCATCCACATGCCCTGCCAGATGGTCTGAGCTGTGATGATGTTGGCCCCAATGAAGGCAGTCACCCTCCACATGGGCAGAGCACAGACCACCACCACCATCAGCCATCCAATAACACACATGGAGATGCCAATCATCTGAATGCCTTGGGATGCCATCCTGCTGCCTTCACAGACGCAGAAAGAGAAGAGCAAAAATCAATAAACAAAGACTGGCCACTGAAGGTGTATTTATAGAGGTCTGTGGGAGGACGGGAACACACACATGAGGGCACCAAGTCTCCATTGGCCCAAAGTAGTTTACCCACAAACAAAAACACTGACCTTTGGTGCTGACGCTGCAGTACACCGCCCAAGGTTAAACACCTGTCCAATGATTGTCTGAAGATCTACATTATGTTATTGTTCACACAATGAATGATATTATGACCTTAAAGTGAATGTATCTTTGATTTTGTGAACATTTTATCAGTCTCATAAAGGTACGCTGATGCTTTCGAAAGATCCTGGTAACATGGCCATAACACTGGAATGTGAGCTTGATTAGGACTGAGACAGATTAGTTTGACTCTACTGATGATGTGTTGTTGCAATAGTAATTAAACTTATGGGGACTGGACTTCTTCAGTCATAAAGTTAGTGTAAGAAATATCTACAAAACAGAGCTTCGCCAAGAAGCAACGGCCCTAAAAAAAATCCTGGATCCAGGTTGTTATCTGGATAACGCCCAAAATGTTTTCATTGTTCCTGGTCCCATTTTCAAGCTTTCCTGGATCCTGGAAATCCACCCATAAATGTTTGAGTTACATTGCTAACTAAAGAACTACAAATTAGACGAATACATTTCCCACTTTCTGACTTAATATTAATAATTCAGAATAACTGAATGTATGTGAAAAAATGTGGGAATAGAAAATTAAATTTATTTTGCATAATCATGTAAACACTAAAGCTGCACTAATTACTTATTGCTGTTCATCTCTATATAGTTCTCTTTAACTCAAATAGATTCTTCTACAAATAAAGTCTTGATTATCTTATGCAATGTAAGGAACATTACTTTAAACTCTATTCAGGAAAAAAGTGCAACATACTGTAAAAATGATAAAGACACACATATTTATATGACACATTTATTTACAGCTCCAAAATATGTATAGCATGTATAGTATAAAAGACAAAAGTCCATTTGTAGTTGAAGTCCCTTCTCCTTCCAACAACATTTGGGTGTGGCATTTCCCTTCTCAGCAGTGTTAGTATTTTAAATGATGAAATGAGAATGGCACAAGAGAAATCTTTTCAGGAAAATACAATGTATTAACAAAGTCTTTGCAGAAGCCGTTTCTCACACATAGTCCTTGGGAGCGGTGGCATGGGGGGCAGAGTATTTAGCAGTGTAGTTATCCTTTGGGGGGCAGTTAGCACAGAGCAGGGCCCCACCCAGCAGCAGCAGAGCAGAGGCGCCCCAGCCGATGAAGAGCGCGGCGCCCAGCTCATTCTTCTGGGAGCTCACCAACATGGGGTTGTAGAAGTCTCTGACCACAGTGTTGGCCGTCCAGCACACTGGCACCAGGCACAAGATCCCACTGATGATGAAGATGACTCCTGCTGCCACACACACTTTGGCTTTGGCCGTCTCGTCCTCCACACAGTTTGTGCACTTCCCTCCAGCGATGGCCAGAAGAATCCCAATTACGCCCACCAAGATGGCGATTATGGTGAGAGCACGTGCAGCCTGAAGGTCCTGTGGAAGAGCCAGCATGGAGTCATAGACCTTACACTGCATCTGCCCCGTGCTCTGCACCACACAGGTCATCCAGATGCCCTCCCATGTGGTTTGAGCTGTCACGATGTTCTGGCCAACGAAGGCCGTTACTCTCCACTGGGGAATGGCGCAAACAACGATGACTCCAATCCATCCAATAATGGCCAGGACAATGCCCATGATCTGAAAGCCAGCTGATACCATGTTTGCTTGTTCAGTAGTGAATAGTAGTCCAGAGGTGAAGGTAAAATGTCATGGGAGCTTAGAGTGGGACTTTTATACCGTTAAAAGGGGCTGGGTTAAACTTTGTCACATCGTGTTGTGACGTGATGAGAGCCCCCCCTCATGCTCCGAGGAACGACATGCTTCATCATGTCAACTAAGTTTGTTCGTTAGTTGAGTGACGTACTCTTGAGTCAGATTCAGTCACACCTTCTTTTCTTTTTACCTTTGGTTAATGTTTAAATATAAACTATACATTTGCTCAAGTCAAGATGAGAAGTATGAAGCTAAGAGTGGACGATAAGCAAAGCAACATGTTGACAGCAACTGACAATATCTCAATGACTTCCACAAGTGCATGTGTGTGATCATACACCAATGACACCTATAAAGCTGCAGCTCTCACTCCATGTTACAGACATGAATAGCTCCTCAGGCGGATTTTAAGGCTTAACATAGAAAGTAACTTGATGTAATACATATTAATGTCCCAGAGTAATATTTTGTATCAGAAACACAGATCAATCGGCAGAGATATAGTAAAGACATGGTTTAAAACTATGTCTTTACTATTCAAGCCAAAGCACTTCATATGAATCAATTGAATTAAGGTCTCTGAATAAACTAATAATGAAGTAACACTCCATAATTGTATGCAGTGTTAAAGCCCATAAAAGTCATTATTACGACCCTCTTTTATACAGATGTGATATATATAATGTGCTCCAGTCCATAAAACACACTTTATTTTACCATGTGATCAACTGCTAGCAGGTGTTGTATTCCTGTGCTGTACATAATCTAATGACTTATATCTCTCAGACAAAACTTCAGGTAATCATTAAACACATATGCATACCCTTCTCATGTTAAGTTAAAATGAAAAGGCCCAACAACCTCCCACACTTCTTTTCAGTAGGTACAAACTAAGTGAGTTCAACACAGCCCACACACATTTTTCATATTTCAGAGAGATGATTTTGCCTACCTTGTGCGTTCTTCAGTCTGAAGCAGTACGAGTGTCCCCCATAAGCCCTTGCACTCAGTCAAACCTTCAGGTCTGCCTCCTCACTAATTACTGCTATTGTCCAGCGCAGAAATACATGAAGACGTAGATGTAGAGAAGCTGGCACCGAACATGTCACAGGATCCAGCTGACTGCGGCAGAGAGAGGGTCGGCAGTTGGACCGAAGGATCAGATAGAGCCAGGCATGAATGGACACTGTGTTAAGGGTCCAAAAGTATAATTAAGAACATAAAGCCTCTACTTTGTCCAGGTATAAGCAGTAAGCTTCCCAGAGCTATCTGGGGAGATTGAGTTCCACTCAAAAGTGCAGGAGATAAGGTAGAATTTGAGCAATTAAGTATCTGAAGAAAGATGGTTTCAGACAGAGATATGTCTTAGACCTTATGTGGCCTTGAAACACGATATCATCCCGTTAGTTCAATTGTGCTGTTTTTTGATAGTGATAGTGAAAAAAAAGCTCAAATGATGCTCCTGGAGAACATCTTCATAGAGAAAACTTGCTACACGTTGGGTTGTTTGATTGAAAACACTTTGTAAACACATTTTAATTTCATTCTGAAGTCACTATTGAATTATCTAAGTCATAAAACCTTCTATCAGCGTGCTTAAGTCTATGTAAGGTAAAATAATAAATACAAATAATATTGATTATGTACTCAATTGACTTGCAACTATTTCTATAATCGATGAGTTGCGATTAATCAAACCACTTTGTCCAGCCCAAGATGAAAGTGATGCTTATATCTTTCTAACCCCCCCCTCACCAATAGTATACTACACAAAATGTCTGACCTTTTAATGGCAATATACAGAATCGAATATAATAAGACAGCTTTCAAATGTTGAAGCATTCAAAATCTCATTGGATGTTTGATTTAATCAAATATTTGTGTGTGTTTTGTATCAACAGGTGAATACTGCAGCAACAGGTGTATGAGAAAGTGCTGCAGGCGGTTGAAGTAACAAGTGGCAGCATGAGAGCAGGAGGCATGTCCAGGCACAGGTAACGGCTTTCACCAAACCAGTCAGTCAAATGAACACTCTGTGGTCCCATGCTGCCATGTTCTGTTGTTTTGAAGTGTTTAGTCTGGTCTAAAGTTGGTGTAAATATTGTGACGTTCTGGCCATAGTGTTTGGGACAGTCACAGTTTCAGTTCTTTTATTTCGGTATCTGCGGAGGTGAGTCAGAGGTGATGAAGTGTGTCACATGATGCATATAGGAAGAAGGAGATGGAAACAAACGTACCTAAAAGATCCTTCAGAGCTCTTTTCACAACAATTTTGGTTTTAATTGATTTAAAATTATACAATGGATTAATGAATGAATGAATGATAAAGGTATAATTCATTTATTGTTTGTATTGTAACTAAAACAAACAACTCTGATTTTCCTACCGGTACATAAGACAGTTGTTCTCACAGAAACTGGTTGGTCTGGCTCACTCTCCCACAGTGTGAGTATGTCATCAGGGCAAGTGGCAGCTTGCACAAGTGGCTAATAAATTACATATAAAAAAATGAAGTATAGTATAGTACAGTGTCCTATAAATAAATGGATGGTGCGGTCACACAGTGGTTAGCAAGAAGTCTCCAGAAAGCCAGGGCCTTTTTGTGTGGAGTTTGCATTTTCTCCCTCTGTCTGTTCTGGTTTCCCCACCACTGGAATCATGTACACTAGTTCTGGGTGAATGAGTGTGTGTTTGTGAGTGTGACTGGGGGACAACGGATGGATATTATCTCAGGGCTACAATCCAGGGTATTTTTCAGGATCTCTCAGAGTAGACCGATGGAAGCAAGGCTACAATTGCAAAATTAGTTTTATAGTGTCTGCTCAGTTGATAATACCCTCATAATAGATCAGTCCTCTGGCACCCCCTGTAGCTTTTTAAAGAGTGGTTAAAAAGTTAGGGCGGCACGGTGGCTGAGTGGATAGCACTCTCGCCTCTCAGCAAGAAGGTCCTGGGTTCGAATCCTGGTTGGGCCAGGGCTTTTCTGAGTGGAGTTTGCATGTTCTCCCCGTGTCTGCGTAGGTTTCCTCCGGGTGCTCCGGTTTCCCCTACCACTAAAAATATGTACAATAGGTCTGGCATGTGCCTCCTGTACTGGCGCCCAAAAATCACAATTGTAAACCGCTTTGAGACTCCGATGTGCAGTGAAAAGGCGGTATATAAATAAAGATTACTTACTAATCCAACTACTGAAGACCTCTGATAGTGAGAGTAGAGAGACACTGAACTCACTTGCCTTCAATAACCTTATTATCAATGAAAGTTGATCTTGCATTCAAAAGCCTCACATTGAGTACCAATAGACTATACACTGTTATTCTTTCATAAGAAGCAAGTAGTATTATCACAATACTTCTCCCAGAGGTTTCTCACTTAACTCCCAATGGGTTTAGAGTTTGTCCTTGCCAATTCAGGAGGAAGACTGCGGCGATGATCCAGGACACTCTAACATTCTACAACATTCATGGACATTGGTTTCTCCATATGGACCAAACCTATGTGTTTTTGTGTCTCAACTGTTGATTCTCTGATCTATGTTGGTAACTTCAACGGTTTTGTTAAGTCCAGGAGATGACATACTGTTGTCATTTAGGGCTATACAAGAATAAAGTGAATTGAATTGAATTGAATACTAAAATTTCAAACTTTAATACTAATGAATTGACTTGATATCCAATACCAATCGTGATGCCTCTGAGATCATGTTTTTGAGCTGTATTTTTTATAAATAATGCCACTTTTTTGTTATGATTTTACGGATAAAGTTGCTTTAAAAATATATATACATAAATAAATAAACAAAAATGAATAATTAACAACATTTCCTGTTGTTTTGGTCAAGAAAATAAATGTGCCTATGGAGATATGGAGTGTCTTTGATATTTGACACTGAGGCCTATGACTCCAATGTTTCTGGATGTAAACATGATGCCAGCTGAAGCTGACTCCACCTTCAGTCTAAGCTGTATAAAGAACTGTGATTCTGTCTCTCCGTCTCTACCGTCTATCAGGGGATTTTAGTCCGTGATCTGATACCTGTCACTGAGGCTGCTGCCACCGACAGAGGACCTCTATCCACACCGCAGCACCATGTCCTCCACCGGCCTGGAGATCTTGGGCATGATCCTGGCAGTGGCTGGATGGCTGGGGGTGATGGTGGCCTGTGGTCTGCCCATGTGGCGAGTGGCTGCATACATCGGACAGAACATTGTCATTTCGCAGGTGATTTGGGAGGGCCTCTGGATGAATTGCTCGGTGCAGAGCACAGGGCAGATGCACTGCAGGGTGCATGACTCGATGCTGGGGCTGCCTGTGGACCTGCAGGCTGCCCGAGCCCTGGTCATCGTCTCTTTGGTGCTGTCCATAATTGGTATCGGTCTTTCGGTGGCAGGGGCTAAGTGCACCAACTGCAGCCAGGACGTGAATGGTAAATCTCGCTTCATGGTTGCTGCAGGAATCACCTTTGTTGTGGCGGGACTGCTGATTCTGGTGGCCGTGTCCTGGACGGCACAAGCCATTGTCATGGGCTTCTATGATCCCATGCTGGAGGAGACAGGGAAGAGGGATTTTGGGAACGCTCTGTACTTCGGCTGGGCTGCCTCCTGTTTGCTCGTCCTTGGGGGAGCAATGCTCTGCTGCTCCTGTCCTCCCAGAGCAGTGCGGGCTCAGAGCGGGTCAGCACCTCCTCGAATGGACTACTCTGCACTCAAGTCTGTGACAGCCAACGGCTACACTAAAAAAGACTATGTGTGATCCACTGGTCCAGCCATGTGGCACTCATTTCTGTTTTCTTTCAAATGTTTTCGGAGCCATATTGACATAAATGTTTCTTTTATAGTTCAGTAAAGTAAATGTATAACAACACTTACATTGCTTTTAGTGTTCTTTCTTATATATTTTTCTGTGTTTAAAATATTAAAATCAGGTGAGCATCAACAACAGTATTTTATTTCAAGGGAATAAACCTCAACAATGGGTGGCTTGTTTTAAAAGCGCACCTTCTAAGTTTCATTGTTAATGAAAGTCCATCAGGGAGAGCCAGCGACCCGGCAAGGGAAACGCAGAGTGGTCTTGTAAAAACAAAGAGCTCTATTGATTTACCGTCTGTGCTGGTTTGGATAACCTAAACTGATAAAGGATCTAAGTTAGTCTGAGCGAGACTAAGAACCTCATCTAAAAAGTATAATGAGTAAAAACATGATTTAATAATTAATTATGAAGGGCTTTGATGAAAGGAGGACTTTAGTGAGTGCATGCCCTGGAGGAGAGTTTGCATTTGGATTAAGTAGATTAATTGAAGAGGACCACATACATTTACTCGGGAGTCACCAGGACTACATTAGAAATGGTGTACTATAGGGTATGTACACCATGTTTACAATAATATTGTTAATATAAATTAACCTATTATTTAAAGTAACTTTACAATGTATCTGAAATATATATTTCATACATGCTGAACAGGATGGTGGGGGCTCCCAGACAGTTTCTCGGTCAGTGTGCTGCAGTTATCTGAAGAATGTAAGATGCTGAATTGGGCAAAGCTGAGTGTTCATTAACTCTGTGGTGCTCCAGGTACATTTCAGAGACATTCCATTCACGCTGATAAAAGACGGGGGATACAGTACACCGAGCCACGGTACAATAGCATCTTATCTCATAGAGGGAAAAGATTTTCACATGTACTTTAACTTCTGTTCCATTTTAAGGGGCTGTAAAAAGCATTAGAAATGTAAAAGCAGCACTAATAGTGTCACATGAATAAGATGCATTCATTCATTCACTCATTACAAGTCTATAATGTATTAGAGTAAAAGTACTGCTAAAACTAAACTTAGTATTTCATACAAACTTTATTTACATGTTTAATCCTTACACTTTGACTGAAGGTGATAGATTTTTTATTTTTTTGGTCACTGGTCAACAGCAAAAAAAGATTTCACATACATAAATTAACCATTTAACAACCAAAATTCATACACAATATAGCAAACTGTCATCCAACGGCAACATATACAAATGTGCATAATATACACATAATACAACTTTAACAAATATTCAATATCCACATACACTCATACATGTAAGTAAACTGTGTAACATGTGTTTTTTAGAATAAGAATCAGAATCAGACGTTTTGGTCAAACTTAGGACATTGCGACAGTAACCAGAGAGTGTATAAGGAGACATCTGTTTTTACTTTTTAATAACTTGACTTTATTAAAACTAGAGGTCTTAATTAATATTAGTGAGCATAAAAGATTTAGTGGAAGCCTACTGCCATTTTTCACAGTATCCTCCTTTCAATCATTCACTCTTCGATCTTTGTCTGCTCCGTTAGGCTTTAACCAACACTGACCTCAGATACTGGCTCTCTGTTTGCTTTCCCCTCACCCAAACAGGTGCAAGAGCTACCAGGACTACACAAGTTCAATCATTAAACCAGAGATGCTTACATGTCCGACCGGATGGCCAAATCAGCTTCAGCGGAAGATAATTTGAAGTCACCCTGGCCAATAACCAAGTGACTCCACCCTCAGCGTTGTTTAAACCACTGCTTATATGAGCTGTAGACACTGAATATCCAGCACCTCTCCATAGGACAACATTGTTCAACATGCCTTCTGCTGGACTTGAGATTCTTGGTGTTAGCCTGGCCGTCTTGGGATGGATCTCTGCCATCGTCTCCTGTGCTTTACCCATGTGGAGGGTGTCTGCTTTCATCGGAGTGAACATAGTGACTGCTCAGATCACGTGGGAAGGCATCTGGATGAACTGTGTGGTCCAGAGCACTGGGCAGATGCAGTGCAAAGTGCATGACTCCATGTTGGCTTTGAGTGGAGACCTCCAGGCTGCTCGGGCCCTCACTGTGATCGCCATCGTCCTGGGCATTATTGGTGTGATGGTGTCGATAATGGGCGCCAAGTGCACTAACTGTGTGGATGAGGAGGCGGCTAAAGCTAGAGTGATGATAGCAGCAGGAGTATGCTTCATCGTCGCAGCAATGATGGAGCTCATTCCAGTGTCTTGGTCGGCACATACGATCATCATCGAGTTCTACAACCCTGTGATACCTGAGGCCCAAAAAAGAGAGATAGGAGCAGCTCTGTACTTGGGATGGGCCGCCACTGCCTTTCTGGTGATTGGTGGGATCATCCTATGCTCCAGCTGCCCGCCACAGACTGAGAAGAGATACGGGCCTCCGTCCAAAGTAGTGTATTCTCAATCCCGATCAGTGGCACAGAGCTATCCCGAGAGGAGAGACTATGTGTGATGACCATGGACTTGGTAACATTAGTTTGGATGCACAGGCCTAAAGACATTTTTCTTACACCATTATATTTATGCTATGTTGGCTACTGCTTTCTCTATTTTTTTTTACTGGTGAAAAACATGTTGTTTATGTTACTTTTTTATATCATCAGTGTTACTGTATATGTTTGATTACCTTTCACAAAATAAATGTTTCAACATTAACATATTTTGTGATTTTAACTTCTGGTAAATCTTTAAATACTGCTTGTATTCACCTACTTGTGTTTCAGGTGAAATGTTAATATATGGTACACTGAAAGTAAATTCCATGTTAGTTCATTTGAGCCATTAGGCTGATGAGGGGAAGTCCCAGTACGTGCATGTTTCACCTGGCTGTCTCCCATATGCTCCGTCTGCTCTGAGAAGAACCACTACTTTGTCTGCTCAAGCACAGCGCTGAACAATGGCCTGTTTCATGCAGCAGAGAGACTGGGTTATCAGCTCCAGGTCAGTGAGTGCTGAGGGGGTGGGGGTGTCTCGGGAGACGGCCTCATCCCCCCAAAAATTCAAGGACATTCTGCCGATGGACAAACTCATTACAGGTCTTCAAAGGCTGCACTGCTTGCTAAATGAGAGTAAAAAACTATCTCTAATATAAAAGTAAATGCAGTGGTATTCCGTTGAGATGAGTTTTATATAAAGAAAATGTTCCTCTCCTACATAACTCGGGACATTGGGCTGAATGACCCACACATATGACCACGGTGACATAGGATATAGATCATTTACATTTAAACACCAGTATAATGTTATATTCAGTGTTGCCACCTAACTACAGGTGTACAACACTGGGTGCCACCATCACCTTTGGTTGGTCAAAGGCCTCTTTGTGGCCAGTCTTATTGTGAGAGTAGCCTGTAAACTGATAGTTGTCTTCACAACTCAGTAGGTCCTTCCTCCCTGTGGTGAAGTCAGCTGCAGCGGGCTCCTCCTCTGCACTTGCCTGCCTTATAAACTCAGGATACTGTGGTCCAGGCAACATCCCTCTTGTAACTGTGACGCACATTCAGGACTTGAGGAGGAAGTCTGCTGTTCAGGATGTCTATAGGTCTGGAGTTGATTGGCATTTCTCTGTGCATTTTGGGATGGATTATTGCTATTGTTGCTTGTGCTCTCCCGATGTGGAGGGTCACTGCCTTCATTGGCAGTAATATAGTGACAGCGCAGATCATATGGGAGGGTTTATGGATGACCTGTGTGGTCCAGAGCACGGGGCAGATGCAGTGTAAGGTGTACGACTCCATGCTTGCCCTGTCCCAAGACCTGCAGGCTGCCCGGGCGCTCACGGTGATCTCCATCCTCTTGGCCATCTTAGCAGTGCTTGTTGCCATAGCTGGAGCAAAGTGCACCAACTGTATTGAGGACGAGGCATCCAAGGCCAAAGTGATGATCATTTCTGGAGTGTTTTTCATTGTATCAGGCGTCATGCAGCTCATCCCAGTGTGCTGGTCTGCAAATACCATCATCAGGGACTTCTACAACCCTCTGCTCACGGATGCTCAGAGGAGGGAGCTGGGAGCCGCCTTGTATATCGGATGGGCAGCAGCGGCACTCCTAATCCTGGGAGGGGGACTGCTATGTTGCTCCTGCCCGCCACGAGAGACCAGGTACAACCCATCCCGGATGGCCTACTCAGTGCCTCGCTCCGCAGGGGGGCCGGCTTTGGAGAGGAAAGACTATGTGTAAAAATGGAACCAAAAAAGACACTTTGTGTGAACAAAGACTCAACTGTGGAAGATGATAATGACCAAATGTTCTGTATTTATACAAATATTTTGTATCACAACAACAAATTACACAAACCTTAAAGAAACTTTTGCGATAAAGTCATGTACTAATATTTCTTGTTTTTTATATCAGATTGCCTGTAAATACTTTGACAAAATGTGTTTTTAGATAATGGATAGATAGGACAAATACAAAGACTTGTGTTTGTTTCTTTTGAATACGTATCTTTGAAGGTCATATCAGACCAGTGGGCGCAGAGCACTGTGTTCCCTCATGAGGGGGAGGCTCGTTCTGCATGTGTGCCTGTATTTGAATTTCTTTGTAATAAATATCTTTTTCACAAGTGTTATGTGTCTTTTCGAATGACACATTTCAGCAGAAAGACTTACTCACGCCATGTTCGGTCACTAAAGTGACGAGTGCAATGCACCCAGCACCTTTGTAAGAGTATCCCGTCACCTAACGCCAGCTGCCACCTGACAACACACACTGACTATTTAACCACATCTGCTCCCAACAATTAGCCCTGGATCAGTTTCAGCACAGGCAACAAGTGTGAGTCATAAAGGCTCACCAGAAGTATTATTTATATTATAAACACCTCAAGTTTTATAGAATACGTATACATTGGGATAAATGTGGAATATTACATTTGAGTGGTTGTGTTGTCACATGAAACAATGTTTTTGGTCTACAAAGTGAGATCGAGAGTCAATCGATAGAATTATTGTGTTTCTCAAATATGCAGAGACTGGCATAAAAAACACAACACTGATTAAAGTGTAGGTCACTCTCCGACACAGTAAACAAGTGGTTTTATCCTTGCCATAATGGAAAATATCTGTAATCTTAGAACAATCTGTTGCATGAGTCACTAATTTGTTAGTGTTTTGTACTGGCACAGTACACAAATAAAAATAATCTTGCAGCTGAATAAATGCTGATCTTAATAACATAAAGCACGTTTCAAACATGAATTGATAACCATGTTGACATTGGACAAACTTTGTCCAGTAATGCTGAGGTTTGCCTTTGCTCTATGTTGCATCATCACCTGCAAACAATCTTTAAAACTAATAACCTACTCTCAAACCATGAGGAGAAAGTACAGTTATATGTGTTTGAAAGTAAAGAGTAAAACATACTTCAACACATCCAACAATGTTTGTTCAACAGTATTCTTTTACAGGGATGAAATAATGTTATCTCTCTTAATTAATAACACAGAGGCTAAACATTGCTATTAATATTGGGAATTTTAATTTAATCCTTTATGATTAGCCAAAGAATTTTGCTTTAATTCCTTATTGAGCTTGTTTTACTCGTGTTGTTTTTCAAAGCACATCTCAGTAAATATTCTAAAATTACTCATGAGGCTATTTTCATCTTTCGAGCAAATCATTTTAAATGTCCTTTGGTTTTCTGATCTTTTTGAATCAGTTATGGCTCTTATGGAAAATACTAGCTTTGTTCAATATATTCCTTCAGCGTTTCCTGTGTTTTAGTAATTAGACATGATTGAATTAAGTCAATGGTCCGAATGTGCTGACCAACCGTGATCATGTGACCGAAACTTGGGAGTATGAGGGGCAGGAGGGGCAAGAGGAGGGTGGACACATAGACTGTATATGACACAGCACTCACTCAGACTGTGCTGAGAACAGATACTAGATCAGCATTTTCTGTCTCAAAGATCTAAATCCCAGGAAAGAAACGGTTTAAGAATTACATCTGAACTGATAATTTATGTTCCATTTGATCCAAAATGCCTGTGCTATAAAAATGTAAAGTTAAAAGCTCTTCAAATTTGATATTACATAAAAAGGTAAAAGATCTAACTACATGTGAAGTATTTAAACTATGATACAGATAAGGGCTGTAATAAGTAAGTAATCTTTATTTATATACCGCCTTTCACAGACCAGAGTCACAAAGCGGTTTACAATTGTTATTTTTTGGGCAGGAGGTCGCCGAACAGGAGGCGCATGCCAATCCTATTGTACATATTTTTAGTGGTAGGGGAAACCGGAGTACCCGGAGGAAACCTACGCAGACACAGGGAGTGTGAATGGGGTGTGTGAATGGTTGGTGGTGGTCGGAGGGGCCGATGGCACATACTGGTTGCCTTGCTTCTGTCAGTGTGCCCCAGGGCAGCTCTGGCTACAGTAGTAGTTCACCACCACTGTGTATGGAGTGAAAGAATAATGGCACATGTAAAGCGTCTTTGAGTGTCCAGAAAAGCGATGCATTATTATTAGAAAATGTGAGACAGGCTTCTACTCTGACAATAGAAGCCACCGTGGGCGGCACGGTGGCTGAGTGGATAGCACTCTCGCCTCTCAGCAAGAAGGTCCTGGGTTCGAATCCCGGTCGGACCAGGGCCTTTCTGAGTGGAGTTTGCATGTTCTCCCCGTGTCTGCGTAGGTTTCCTCCGGGTACTCCGGTTTCCCCTACCACTAAAAATATGTCCAATAGTTCTAGCATGCGCGTCCTGTACTGGCGACTCTGCTCTCATCTCTGTGTGGAGTAAGAAACAAATGCCCAAAAATTAACAATTGTAAACCGCTTTGAGACTCAGATCTGCAGTGAAAAGGCGGTATATAAATAAAGATTACTACTACTACTATAATTAATTGGTTGGAATTAATAGTCAATTTATTAACTAATGTCCACTTCCCAATAGTGCCACACACACAAGTGTGTATGTTTGAGGACAAAAAAATAAGTTTGCCAAATATTCAATTTTTTACTTTGAGAAAAGTTGATACATTTTTTATTTAAAAGTGGTATATGATTATTTAAAATCTTAATCTAAACACAATAATAATGTTAATTTTCTTTGTGTCAAACCTTTTAAGCATCAATTGTTAGTATTGTATACCAATTAACATAATTTTAACTGGACTAATACAAATGTACCAGTTCTGTTTCTACGGCTATTTTTGAAATTAATTTCTACTCTCGAATACATGTTTGGTCTCTTTATCTGTATATTTAAGCATAGCACCGGTTCATCTACCACTGAAGAGCTGAGTAATACTGAACAGTGATGGATCTAGGTGTAGAGTAGATCCATGATCGAGGGTCCCAAATTCCCCCTAAGACTGCCACCGTGTGGCAATATGAGGAAGTGCAGCTTTCCACTCTTGACGCTAACATTCCTAAAAAATATATATACTTTGGTCGAAAATCTGAACATTATCACAATTTAAATGAAAATAGCACATATGCTGATTGAAAATAGTTTATTTAGAGACTGATATTAAAATTCATGGTAGTTTTCCTCTTGCTCCAACAGCATTAGCTGCAGTGTTAGTGTAGCATCATTACATTTAATTCTAAACCTGTAAACACAGCATTTGACAGGAGGAGTGCTAGTATCAAGCACACAGGAGTTGATGGAGCACAGACAGCAGAAAGCGCGAGACTGGACCAGGTCAAAGGCGAAGGAAAAATATCCAATTTTGGAGTATCACTGCACCGAAAATAAAACTTTATCCCATTTTGGAATTCAAGGTTAATGCCTTTTTCAGATTTAAGGCTACAATCAAAATTCCCCAATAACACTCAAACCAAGTTCTTTGTGTAAGTCAATAAATGCGTTGTACTTGCCATGCTTTTCATATTAAGAAAACATAAAATGTACCCTTGTCACCAGTGCACTTAATAAGTTAAAGAAAAAAAAAAACCAAGGAATCTTTTGGATTCTGGCACAGTAGGAAACACACAGATGTCTCAAAACCTTTCCCTTGGAACATTTGTGTAGAAATGCTCAGAATCTTCATAGATGACGGTCACAATCTGTTCGGGATCTGTAATAGTTGCATTTGCTTGAAGATAGGCCTAAAATTAAGCACACATTTTAGATACATCTAGAATACATTTACAGCGTATGATTGTAATTTACCCTCTCAAGACACTGAAGCCTCTCCTCGTACAGAAGTTTGCTCTGCCTCAGCTGCCCCACGGCCTTTTCCAGTCCCTCAAGCTTTTCCAAGTGTCTGTGGTGATGCTGCTGCATGATCTTCACTTTCTTCTGCAGCTCTACCACAGTCGCCTCTAGTTGCTCTTTGCTCACACTGTTTTTATGGTAACTGTTTGGATATTGAAACAATGTTTTACTGACATTATTCAAAACACACATATTCACCAATATGACAAAGAGAGTTCACTCACTAGTTAAGTGTTGTATTATTGCAACCATCCACTTTATGATAGGTTGCATTTGTGTGGTGAAGTAGAAGACTATTATTTTAAAACAATAAAGTAGAATCTAGGGATTCTACTTTATTGTTTTAAAATAATAGTGTTTTATAATTAGGATTGGAATCTTCAGAAAGTGTGGAAAAACCCTTATTCTAATTCTAATGTACTAATGTAGTCAGAACGTAATTCAAGGTAAATATAGATAATAAGATAATATAATATTGCTGACCAGTGCTCCACTTGTTGTTGTTCGAAGTTGAAGCTTTCCACACTGATGTCATCTTCCTCCTCCTCTTCCTCTTCTTCTTCCTCCTCAGGACTCTTTGAGACCTTTGAACCCTGAATGTACTTAGACACTATTGGCACTGTGGAGGTGATAGGCTGAGGACTTAAAGCTGACAACAGAACAGTTTCTGGTACAAATGTCAAATGTGGCGTTAGATTGGTTATTAGATTGGGTACTGTCTCAAAGTAGGCAACGCCAGCAGTTTGATCCACTTCATAAAGATTTGCAAGGTCCACTATTGTGCAAGTGATATTCTCCATTTCCTCTTGATGGACATCTGTTATCCCAGAGGTGGTCAAGCTGTGTACATAGTCTTGGTTTTCAAATTTGAGTACCATTTCTTTGCTGGCTCCAACTAAACTCAAATTGTCTGTAATATGTACAGGTATCAGTTGGTCTTGTAAAGCCAGCACATTCGTTTCTGTTGACTCTTGATCTCCAAACTCATGGATCGGTCTCAAACTACTATAATTTGACTCAAGACCGCTTTCAACTTGATCAAAAGTAGGCTCCGTCTTCATAATTTGGTCAATGTTTGTCCAACGCCACTTGGAACTTCTATCACTTTCGCCCAACAATTTCGTTTTCTATGACAGAACAAAAGGTTATGGTTAAAAATAAACCAATACAAGTTTAAGTTGGTGCAGAGTCTGAAACATATTCATTTAATTTCCAACAATATGCTTTTGTTAATAATTGCAGAGATCTACCTTGAATAGTGTGGGCACAGCTGTTTTCTTCAGATAACGAACACCCCTGCACACTGTAAAGTTTGAAGGCGTGAAATGTTTATGGCAAATATAATGATGTCGAGTGGGTGTCCAGGCGTTTTTTCCCATATTCCTCAGCCACAGGTGAAGTCTCTCGGGGTCATGAAGAGGAAACCTAACAACACAACGATTTAAGTTAATGCAATGTTTGTATTGGTTGAATTCAAATTAATTTGGTCAACAAGATCTGTTATAAAATATCAGCTCAGACCATTGTTATATGAACTATCCCCCTAGTTATTATCATACAGCCTTATCTCAGGAGACGTGACTCGACTAAACGGAGAAAGGCTTTGCATGATGTCCTCGGAAAGAATCAGAAAGTTCGCTGTACTTACTTATAGAAGCTCTTTCTATCGTCAGGCTTTGTTCTACACTTTGGTACTGAGCAGCTTTTAGGCATTTTGGACACAGAAAACACACCCTGAGCCAAATATTTGCCTGAACAAGGTGAAACATGGGCGAAACTCGTCAGCTGTTCTCGTAGTGACGTCACACATGCGCGACGCCTCAGACGGAAGAACCCGTTATTATAATACATCCATGGGAAGAACACGCTGCCTGGAGAACACTCTGCTGGCGGTGAAACTAAACTTAATGTAACTAAGAAGAACGAAGTGGAGTTTTTAAAATGAGTGAAATGAAGCGCAGTTGGCTAAGAGCTGCGATGAATGAGCGGCTGGCTGCGGCTGCGGAGGAGATCTTTGTGCTGGTGGAAAGAGCCATAGCGGAGCATGAGGAGAACCAGAAGAACCAGCAGCTGGACTCACTGAACAACAAAGTCCTCCACATCAGCGCCAATGGATCAGACACAGGACCCAGAGTAATGCAGGAACCGTCAGAGAGCCCACGGGTTAAAGAGGAGCCGTCACAAAACATTATTATTTGTGATATAGTTTCACTGTGTAAAGGCGGCAGGGAAACTAAGCATTCAGACGAAGCTGACATGTCTTCACTGTTCCAGCAACGATCAACAAGAATGAAGAGTCAACAACAGCGAGAAAAGGGAGGACAGATGTTCAACTCGTCTGGCAGTGACATTGATGAAGACTGGGAACCTCCAGCCAGAAGTTCTACAGCACAGATGGAGACAGAGGCTGATGGAGATTAATTCCACACACAAGACACTACAGCTGCACACAGCACATGCCTACTCAGCAAATTCAAGTGTGGTACAGAAAGCAGAACCACTACAGAGAGGGGGACTGGGCCCAGAGATAGAGGAGCAAAAAGCAGTGTCACCGATTCCGACAGCTATAGAACTCACAGCTGTCCAGTTTGTAAAAAAAAAAACATCTACAAAAAACGTCTCATTTTACACATGAGAACTCACACAAGTGAGAGCATCGTGAACCGTAAGAAATCATTTACTAAAACAAATTATATAGATCAACATGAAAGAGTTCACACAGGAATGAAATGTTACAGTTGTGCAGTTTGTGAGAAAAAGATTTCCCAAATGGGGATTCTCAATGTGCATATGCGCAGTCACACAGGAGAGAGACCTTACAGCTGTTCTACATGTAAGAAAACTGTTGCTTTGAAAAGTACTTTAAATAGACATGAAAGATTCCACATTGGGGAAAAACTTTATAGATATAATCTGTAAGAAATCATTCGCTCTGAAAAATAATTTATATCGGCATAAAAAAACTCACACGGGAGAGTGACCTTATAGCTGTTTATTCTGTAAGAAAACCTTTGCACAGAAAAGTGCTTTAGATTCTCAACAGGTTCACACAGGAGAGAAACCTTATAGCTGTTTCATCTGTGAGAAAACATTTTATCATAAATCAAGCCTCAACGTCCACCTGAAGTCTCACAGACTAGCTTCTAATGACACAGGAGAACCCTGTCCAAAACCAAGCCCTCCACCACAACACCTAATCAGAACTTTGAAACTTGAAAACTGACCATCTGCAATGTATATTTTGAGATTTATTTACAAATCAAATGTTTTCTTTATTCCTTATGCATATTGAATGCTACTTCCATAATGTATTTGGATGCTGCAAAACATTGGCTTTGTCCTAGACCCTAACCCTCTTTAACTTTGATGGCTACATGCTTGGATTCATTCTCCACTTTGACACATTTTCACAAGTTACAAGATTTGCTGATGATTTTGTTTCAATACATCATGCCATGTTTTATGAAATGCATATTCCTCTTGCAGCAAAACAGCCACCCCTGTTCATGCTCCTTATATCTTAAAATAAAACTGCCTATAAAAACAAATACACAGCATTGAAACAGACAAATAATCCCTTCTTAAGGGTCTCAGCTGAGCATGGGTGTTGCTGGGCAGGAGCTGCAATACTTGTGTCACGCTAAATTATTGTCAAAACTTTGTCAGGACATATAAACAGATATTTTATCAAATAAAACATTTACATCTCTTGGCTTATTTTTTTATTCAATAATTTTCCTGAAACATTACACAGAATCTTTAAATGATACAGTATATATATATACACATACACAACAGTGTATATTTTTTCTAAAAAGAGGGCCAATGGACAATATAGCTGTGCGTTTCACGACAGGGTTGCATTTTGAACGTTTGTGTACCGACAATCCACATGTGAGCTAAATAACCAGTAGTAAAACATGTATTGTAGGCTGGGGTGGCATGAGTGTGCTAAACTATAACTAGTTTACAGAATACACTGGGAGCTGCCTAGTGAGGGGCTCATTATACTTCATCTTTAAGGAAAGCAGTACTTTTCCACTGAGCAAACAGTGCAGCTGTGTAAATCAGCTTTAGACCCCTAGTGACTGCACCCCAGGTGGAACCATTTTGCTCAACTTATTACAGTATTACATAAAATGTAAAAAATGCTAACAGCAAACAATAAATCACATAGGATGGTTTGAATGACTTGCTTCTCAATTAAACAGTCTGGAAAAACTCTTTAGCCATCCCCTTTTTTAAAAAGCCAAACAATCATTTTCAACTCAGATCTTTGGTACATGACAGCTGGTTAATTTACCTACACGTGATGCACATGGGCAGAGAAATGGACTAGACAAACTTCATTGCCCTGGTCATAGCCAAAAAATATTAAAGAACATACCAAATGAGCTGGTCAGTGAGATCACTTTCCTATTGAATCACCATTTGTGCAAACATCTAGTATCCATTCATACGAGAAAAGGATCTCATAATCCCAACAATAACAACATTATCTCTGAGCACTGGAGGGAGTGAACTGGAGATGAAGGTTTATGAGGAAAGGACAACTACATCATCCCCAACTGCATTAATGTGTTAGCATATGCCATGGGCTTGACATTCGGATGAGGCTGGAAGGAGAGAGTTGTTCAAAGTTAGCACAGAATACATCTAATTATATGTAAAATACAAGATAACAGGTTTTACTCAAATTAAATAATACATGTATATCATTCAAGGATACATAAAAGCAAAAAAAGGTCACAAACCACAGCAGTGAACTGGTGAAATTCTGGCTTCAGATCTGATCCCCTGAGGTGGATATAAGCTCCTTTGTTTCCCATCTGATCACTGTAAAACAAATCAATTACTTGGGCATGAACTCATTTATTTTTATCAATCAAACTTTATTTATAAAGCGCTTTTCATACAATAAAATGCAACACAAAGTGCTTTACAGCTGAGTCAAAATCAATAAAACATGCCCAATAAACCCCAAAGACCCACCTATAAACCAGTATATATACTGTACGTACCAGTAGTTGGGTGCTGAAAAGACGGTGATGCACTTTCCTGAGTGAGTGACTTCGTAACCCTCAGCCTTAACTTCATGACTACGGACAATGTAATCCAACTTGTTTTGTTCCAGGAAGCGCTCAGTCACATCTGGTCCAAACTGACAGCTGACTCCACGCTTACTAATTGACCTGCCATTCTACACAACAGATCTCATTATTAATGCAAAAGATAATTTACTCCTAAAATATGACTTTTGAAGTTTCTACCTGTGGTTGTGGGTCAGACCAAAGGAGGTCACACATGGGCCCTGCAGGAGATGCACAGATAAGTTTGATACTGCAGACCACCTTGGTCAAATAGATGTACTTGCTGTACCTGAATCTGGAGGCTGTCGATTTCGCTCGATTTTCTTGAGATTTTCCAATGTCACGCCATCTTCACTGAAGAGCCCACCATGCATTACCTAAGAAAACCATGCATGTCAACTCTTTACATATTCACAAATATTCGTCTAAATTTTGATACTTACCAATACTTTGTTGTTGATACACTGTGCAAGAGGCAGCCACTGGAAGACCTCACTGAATAGCTGGAACATCTTGGCTGTGTATTTAGCTTTGACTTCGCCTTCAAAGCCGTACATCTGATTCATGTTGTCAGTCTCATGGTTACCTGGAGAGTCAAATTATTCTTGATATTTTGTCTGTGAGAGAAGACATAACAAAGAAAGTGGTCTCACCTCTCAACAAGTGAAAGTCCTCTGGATAGAGAAGCTTAAAGCCAAAAAGCGTCAATATGACTTCCAATGAAAAAGAACCACGATCTACAAAGTCACCATTGAATAACTGATGTTTGTGGTTAAGATTTTCAAAAAACACTTACACAGCTCCCATGACAATTTAGTGTGTTCACACATGTGTGCACTACAATCCCCCAAGCAAAGTTAATTTACAGTACAGTCTTTTCACCACTCACTAAGTACACTGAGGGTGATGGTGGTAGCAGAGGAAAAAGCTACTTCAGCACAGGCATGGACAGCCAAAACCCACTTCAATAATGTACTGTTGAAAAGGATACGTATGGGTTGATCTCTGAAGGTAAGCCATTCAATGTGAAGATGTTGAGAAGATCATAGAATTGGCCATGCGTGTCACCACAAATGGTCATTTTATCTGACTGGAATGAAAATTATACCAATAAATAAATGCATCATACATCAAATGTATACTGAATATATACAGAATACCTTTATGTAAAATGGACCAACATAACATAATGTGTTAAGACAAAATGACTACCTCTTTTAATGAGACTTCAACAAGACTCGGTAGCTTTGACAAAACATCTTTGACTTGAACCAAAATCTGAAACAATATTTAGATTAGTGAAGGAAAATGTCCTGTTATAATAAAATGGTTGCATTAACTTTAGAAATATACAAGAGATTTCCATTGGTAATCCTGAACAAAAATATAACTAAATTATCATAAATATATAATTACATGTGCATTAATGTAAAATTATAAAAGGAAAAAAAAAACTATGAATGAAAGATCAAACCAAAATCGTACCTGATATGCACACTTTCTATGTAGTTTTTTCTGGTCTTTGAACCAATCCATCATCTCTTTCATGAACGTTAAAGTGACTTTTCCATCTTCCAGTTTGGGACCCACATAGTCATCCTCAATAGCTGCAACATCAAAAAGCATTGTCAAAAGGAACTTTAATGGAAAACAAATCTTAACACAAAATGTACTTTAATATAAGGTACTTACTCATGTTTTCAATGTCTAGAGAATCAACCACTGATTTTTTGGTCTCGTCACTAGCAATGGCTCTTTCAAAAGCCTTTTGCTTTACAATTTTGTTACATTCTTGGTACTTCATTTTTGCATCTTTGTCATTAGGCCGAACTCTCACAACCTTTAAGAAGAATATTGGTCACCTACCACTGACATCGAATTAAAACAAAAACATAATGGTGTTTCCGTATACTGATTAAGATTGTTCAGGTCTTGGTCAGTCTATTCTTGTCTGTACCTACCGTTTCATAGTCTTTGAGCGCAGCCTTAAACTTTCCCAGGGCCATGTTGGATGTGGCCCGCCTGTAGTATCCCTTTATGTAGTTCTTGTCTATCTCCAGGGCCTTTGTGGCATCAGCCAAGGCATAGCCATAGCACTCTGTGCGTATGTATGCCAAACTTCGATTGCTGTAGTAGATGGCATTGGATGGATTGAGTTCCAAAGCCTCAGTGTAGAACTTGATGGCATTGTCATAATCTTTCTCTGTAAAAAGATGTTTTGATCAAAAGTTTTAAAAAGCTTTACATAAGACACCTTTTCAAGACAATATGTTTTGTCAAGATCTAATACTTATTAGAGATGAATGTACCATTTCAGAAATTTGGTAAATATGTACTGATTTACTGCACTTCTGTTTTACATTTTTTACTTTTAAAACACAAGTAATAACTTACATAATATAGCATGGCCTTCATATTGAAGTTAATCGCCCTGCCCTGTTCAGCTCATCACTAATCGTACGTGATGCTGCTCAAAGTGACAGCCAGGGCAACGTGGAGAAAAACTACGACAATTAACTAAATAAGCTAAATAATAAACGACAAAGTGGAGGAAGTGTAAAAGAGTTGACACCAAAAATATAAATTTATTGTACATGTGTTTGCAGGCGACAACATGTGCTGCTGGTCCATGATGAAGCAGCTAATCTGCGTTAGCTAAGCCAGGGACCGCTCACTTCACAGCAGTGTGGCTGAATGAATGTGCGCGGCTAGCATACTGTACTGTAGCTGAATAGGAGCGCGTGTCTCCGATTGTAGTTGTATGCCATCTTTATCATGTGTACCAAGTTGGTTGGTTAGAATAGGCTGACATTAAACTGTGTAGTGTCAAAGAAGTATAAATACCTTTGAAGAAGTTATTCGCCTTCTCCTTGAGTAGCTCTGCATCATTACTTCCCTCCGCCATCTTCTTGTCACTGCAGATTTCCGATGTGCCCACCAGCGAACAAACTGTCGCAAAAACGTCGTAAACCTCAAATTTGGTCACCCTTTTCTCACTGTAGTTATACAGTCCTGATGTTTTCAAATTACCTCGTCCTTCAAGATTCCTCGAAGAAGGTTTACTATTTACATTACAACAATAACGTAAACAAGACCAGTGACCTGTGACTGTAGTCTGGTAAGGAATTATTGCATTACATGTGACCTAAGTACATTTACTAATACAACAATTTGTTATTTAAAATATTACATTAGAAACCATATTTTTACACGTATATGTAAGTGTGAAAAAGGAAAGACAAAATAGGACTTGTTTTCACTTGACAACCAGCAGGTGTCAGTAGGACGCTATTCTCAGTTTTGACCTTATAGATCCATGGTTTTGACTTGTTTAAAGCTGGGGTTCCTGGTTTTCAAACGGGGACCGTGGAAGCGCGAATTTAAAAGCGTTCGACTACCTAGAGATCTCAAAAAAGTTTGTACATTACATTTGTATCCATATGTATATTTGATAGCTTTTTGACAGCGTTCTCAAATAGAAACTGAAATAGAGATAATCACCCCCAATCATCTGCCAGCCAAAAACGTCACAAGATTTTTTTTTTTTAGATTAAAATAAAGACAGCACATTGTGGTCTGATATACAGTATTTACAACGTTTTACTTGTAGGCTCCATTTGTGGGGATACATACCCTACATTTAGTAGATGACAATGTTGATAGAGAGAAATTAATTAACAAAAACTATTAAAGCATTTTTTCAGTACATAAATAGCTGTTGTTCAACATAAGTGACGCTGTTGTGAAACCTGTGCTTTGTCTACCGATGTCTTGTGACGGTGTTCTCAAAAGTAAGTAGCTACCAACCACATAATTCTGCTGTGACCACAGTTATGCCAATTAGCACATATTTACATGGGATGAGACAAGGTGTGCCTATCTCGTGGATCATCCTAAAGGAGGATAGATAAAATACCCCAAATTGTCTTCTTTAGCTTCTCAAAATAATTATGTCAAAACAAAAGCTGGTTCAACAAATGTATTTGGAAAACTGACCACCATAACCTTAAAAACCCACGTTTTTATCACTTGTTTCTTTCGCGTAAATCGATTGGATTAAGCGCCTTTTAACAGCTGCACCTCAAAAGGATTACTGTCATCACCCTCCGAACTGTACAACAGCCTTCGAAAGTTGCCGCTAGCAACTCGGCTAACTTCCGTATACGTAACCATGGACACAGCACCGTCTCCCGTTAATATCTACAAAGAAATCTACAAGTCACAACTTACTTCATCCAGCTCGATAATCAAGAAACCAGTACGCACTATGTCTCCCGAAGAACTACAATTGACTGTCAATAACCTCTCTATCGAACTAAAACACAAAGAAACACTCCTGGAACTATTCATGGACATTGCATTTAAACAAGCACAACACCTCTCACTTTCCGCTCACCACGACACTATTCCCTGGGACCCTGTCATCTGCCCGAACCCCTCATCCTGCTCAACCCCACTCCACAGCAATACCTCGTGCGTTGTGGTCCGAAGAAAGGACCCGCTCGCTCCTGGGCCGAGTCTGGCCACCGCGCTCTTCCCGGAGCATCCAGCGCTCTGCCCGGTTCCGGATCCTTCGCCGCCTCATACAGCCCTAGAGCCACCGGTCTCCAGCTGTCCTGCCCCGGAGCATGGCCATCCTCAGAGCAAGTTCAACCAGGAGCAGAGGCCGCGAGACCACAGAGTGTCCCTGTCCACCCGCCGCAGACTGGTGGAGGAGGCTGTCCGCAGGCGCTCCGTGGGCCCTCCGTGCTCTGACCCAGCGCGGAGCCCCCTGCGCCCGGACACTGCGCGGGGTTTGGCTGAGGCTGCAGTGGGGGGATCTCCGCGTTCAGAGACAGCGCGGAGTCCTCCCGCGAAAGCTGCCTCGGTCCTGGAAGACTCGCAGCGCCCTGCTCAAGTGAGTGGCCCCGCAGACTCAGTACGGTGCGCGGCGCATGACGGAGCAAACGCCGGGGTAGCCATTGGGGAATCCCCGCGCTCCAGCGCAGCGCGGGGATCCCCTATGAATGCTGCCCTGGCTCCGGAGGGGTCACTGCGCTCTGACGCAGCGCGGGACCCCTGCGAGAATGCTACGGCTACCCCGGGTGGACCTCCTCGCTCTGACCCAGCGTGGGGTTCCCCCGTGGACAGCGCTGTGCCCTCTGTTGCTGCTGGAGGACCTCCTTGTCCGGACTCAGTGCGAGGCTCTCCCACGCCACCCCGCGCCCCAGTCTCAGTCCGTCCAGAACCGCCTCGGTCTCCTTCACTCTCTCCCAACCCTCCGCTCTTATCTCGGTCTCCTTCACTCTCTCCCAACCCTCCGCTCTTATCTCACGGCACCACCGCAAATGCTCCTGGTCTCGCCCTGCCCGCTCAGGTCCCTCAGCGCCCATCTCCCCCCACGACGATAACTCCATCCTCCCCCCGACCATTGTTCGCACCCACAACTCTTCTGGTGGGTGACTCCATCATTAAACGCTGCAGGTTTTTTAATGTTTCCACTCACTGTTTCCCTGGAGCCACTGTCACTTCACTGCTGAACAATTACCTGCCCTTCTTATAAACGCCCCCACTAACCCGTCTTATTATCCATATCGGTTCAAATGACAGTTCATCCCGCCACTCGGAAATCACAAAACTGCATTTTAGAGACCTTTTTAACTTTTTATCAGAATCTGGATTATCTGTTTTTATCTCCGGCCCTCTACCCACTCTCAACCGAGGAGATGAACGTTTTAGCAGAATTCTAGCTCTTCACACTTGGCTCAAACAAGCATCAACCCTCCTCAACTTTGGTTTTATTGACAATTTTAATTTATTCTGGCACCGCTCCTCCTTCTTCAGACCTGATGGCCTTCATATCAACCCTCTTGGAAACCGCTTTCTCACATCCAATATCATCCATTCAGTACAGTCTCACTCCACCTACAACTGACTATCTGCCTCCTCACCCCCCGTATCACCTCCTCACCGACCCAGCCCTAGCTCTCCCCCTCAGTCAATCCCTGTCATCTCCAGACCCCGACCCCACAGGACCTCCTCCAGAGAACTCTCCCTCCCCTGTCTCATCCCGGTTCCCCTTTGCTCCTCTACAGCCCTCACTCCGGACCCTGTACCTACAATCTTTGGACTTCTAAACATCAGATCCATCAACAATAAATCCTTCATCTGTCAGGACTTCATCACATACAACAACCTGGACTTCATGATTTTAACAGAAACATGGCAAGTGCAAGGCGACTGCACCCCCCTCATTGAAGCGACCCCCCCGGACTACACCTTCCTCCACCAACCAAGACTCTGCGGTAAGGGAGGGGGGGTTGCAGCCATCTTTAAGAACACTTTTAAATGCACTCCTGGATCACAAAATGTTTTTACTTCATTTGAACACCTGTCTCTTATCATTTCTTGTAAAACCCCAGTGTTTGTTTTAATTATTTATAGACCCCCTAAACCCAGCACTGTTTTTATTCAAGAATTCTCTGATCTTTTATCCCAGTGTATGGCCCTCCACAACAAAGTTTTAATCTTAGGTGATTTTAACATTCATGTCTGCTGCCCACATAAACCACACCCTTTAACCTCTGATTTTATTGATCTAATTGAGTCTTTTAATCTTCTTCAAATTATAAATGCTCCGACCCATTCTAAGGGCCATACACTGGACCTGGTTTTAACGTTTGGTCTCAGCGCAGGAAATGTCATCACCAAGGATATCTGTGTGTCGGACCACTTAGCTATTTTATTCGACGTTATTTTAGCCCCTCAGTCTGCCTCCAATGGGTCATTTTATCACTCTCGTGTTTTTAACTCCACCTCTGCTCTTAAACTTTTTACTGCAGCCTCCTTGACTACTTTTAACCAACATTTTAGCCTGGAGGAGCAGGTCTCCTCCTTTTATCAAACATCACATAGGATTTTAGACACGATTGCACCTTTTAAACAAAGAAACCCCACCAGAACACCACAACCATGGCTCAATGAAAACACTCGAAAGCTCTTACAGTCATGCAGACAGCTCGAACGGAAATGGAAAAAATCACACCTTACAGCATTTCACCTCGCCTGGAAAGACAGTCTCAAACAATATCAACACGTAGTCAAGGAAGAAAGAACTTTATTTTATTCAAACACTATCACCCAAAACAAATCGAATCCCAGAGTTTTATTTAAAGTTTTAAACTCTATTATAAATCCCAGTCCCTGTGTTTTTAGTGATTCATCCACTGAACAGTGTGAATTATTTTTAAACCATTTTATTCAAAAGATAACAGATATCCGGACCCAAATATCTGCTCCTAGCCAAGCCACTGTTTTAAATAGAGAAACTCTGGATTTTAGTTGTTTTACAAATTTTATGCCTTTATCCCTTTCTCTTTTATCTGACATTTTATTCCGCATGAAACCAACCACGTGCAGCCTCGATGTCATCCCCACCAAATTTCTCAAAGATGTTTTTAATGTGGTTGGACCCTCCATTTTATCAATCCTTAATCAGTCCCTGGATCAAGGTCTTGTCCCATCCAGTTTTAAACATGCTGTGGTCCAACCACTTTTAAAGAAGCCTAATTTAAGCACTACAGATTTTAACAATTTTAGACCCATTTCTAAACTCCCGTTTTTATCTAAGGTTTTAGAGAAAATTGTTTCTATTCAGATTTTAGATTTTATTAACAATAACCACATCTTTGAGAAATTCCAATCCGGTTTTAAAGCACAACACAGTACTGAGACAGCTCTCCTTAGAGTTTTAAATGACCTTCTTTTAACCACGGACAGCGGAGAGTGCTCTATTTTAATTCTTTTAGATTTAAGCTCTGCCTTCGACACTATAGACCACGATATTTTATTGGATCGCCTCAAAACGTGGGTTGGCATCAGAGATACTGCACTTGGTTGGTTTCATTCTTATCTTTTAGAAAGAACCTTTGCGGTCACCATGGGTGATTTTACCTCCTCAACAGCCCCCATCACCTGTGGTGTGCCGCAAGGTTCTATTTTAGGCCCCATTTTATTCTCTATTTATATGCTCCCCCTAGGACACGTTATGGCCCGTCATAACGTGTCCTTCCACTGCTATGCGGACGACACACAGATCTACCTCCCGCTGAGACCAAACGACCCTGGAAGTCTGGCTGCTGTGGTCGACTGTTTTAATGATGTGAACCGTTGGATGGCCCATAACTTCCTTCAACTCAACACCTCCAAATCAGAAGTCCTCCTCATCAACCCGCCTCCATCCATATCCCACATCCAAACCCACCTCGGCCCCCTGTCCTCAAACATCACTCCCTCCGCCCGTAACCTCGGTGTCATTTTTGATTCTCACCTCACCTTCCGCTCCCACATCAATAAAACCACCCAAACCTGCTTCTGTCACCTCCGCACCATCTCTAAGATTAAAAACATTCTCACTCCTCCCGATCTCCATAAAGTCGTCAACGCCCTCATCTTCTCCCGCCTCGATTACTGTAACTCCCTCCTCTCCGGTCTTGATGCTAAATCCCTCTCCCGCCTCCAACTGGTTCAGAACGCAGCAGCCAGACTTCTCACTGGTTTTAACAGAAGGGAGCACATCACCCCTGTTTTAGCGTCCCTCCACTGGCTCCCTGTGCGATTTAGAATTGATTTCAAGATTTTACTGATTACTTTTAAAGCTCGTTTAGGTCTGGCACCAAGCTATATTTATGAACTTTTAACCCCCTACGAGCCCCCCCGCAGCCTTAGATCCTCGGGCAGGTCCTTGCTGACCATTCCAAGGTCGAGGCTCCGGACGAAAGGTGATCGAGCCTTTTCTGTCCGGGCTCCTCGGCTTTGGAACGACCTGCCCGAGGAGATAAGGCTAGCACCATCAGTATCCTCTTTTAAATCTCTTCTTAAAACCCACTTTTATAAAACAGCTTTTAATTGTCAGCTTTAAACTTATAATGTTGTATTTTACTGTCTGTCCTGTCTGTTTTGTGGTCTTGTGTTTCCTCTGTTTGTCTTGTCTTCTTGCATTCATTCTTATTGTTTTAACTTTGTATTATGACTGATGTATTGTTTATTATGCTGTGCAGCACTTTGTAAACATTGTTTTTGAAAAGTGCTTTATAAATAAAGATTTATTATTATTTTTTGTGTACGCCCTCAGTCGTACAGGGATTAGTCAAAGCAAAGGAAGGTTTCTCACCCATCATCTGTACTTCTTAGCAAGTTTTCCCGACGTTTCGTCCTCAACCTGGGGACTTCTTCAGGGAATGAATTCTCGGACCGCGCGTTGGAGATTTATAACCTATGGGTGTGGTAAGCCACACCCTAATCCTGATACTAACTCGTAAACAATCTACGGTCTGCTTGATGTAGAAGGGAGCAGGTCTAACGACCCTGCTGAGGCTAACGACCCTAACTCCTTAGCATGTCACAGACCTATTGTCTGCTGGGATGCTCACGTGGAGTGCAGGTTTCACCCCTCCTAACTCATTAGCATGTCACTGACCTTGTCCCAAGTTAGGGCGTTGTTTTTAGGATGTCGTCATAGATGCGAGGCAAAACAAATCTTAACCCTCCTCCTCTGTTAAGAGAAGGTTTTTGTTTCCTCACAAAAATGGCTTCTTTCACCCCTCT